GGGGGGGGGGCGTGCAGAGAACAGCAGAAATCAGGAGAGTGGGGAGATAATGGAATGGAATATCAAGGAGAAGGGCAGGACGGATTGGCTAGAACCTTGGACAAGAGCATTCCTGGTTGGAGGTGAGGATACCATATAACACTTTGTTGCATGCCTCACACGTTTAGACTAGTATCAGTCTAGCAATCTAGCACCTGGGGATCCACAGGAGGGCTGTCAGGGATAGACAGACTGCATTTACACGTCCCAGATGTGACTGGGTACAAGATACACAACAAATGCTGCAGTGCTTTATGGCATTTTGTAAATCAATTTTTTTTTTTTTTTTTTTTTGGTATGCTGTTGTCTGGGGAAAAAAAAAACCCTGCAACCAGACCTAAAGCTTGCTCTGACTAAACAACAAAAAAGGAACTTAAATAAAAGCATCACAAAGTCACTCTCCCAAAGCCTTGCCCCCTCTCCCCAACCAGCCCCTTTCCACTGTCCCTCCTCTCTGAGTGCTATTTGCTTGGCTTGAATATGTCTGTGCTCTGGATGGAGATCTCTCTCATTTGCAAAGCTGGAAAGTAGCTTACGGTCACATCCCTTGTACTGCCCACTTTTTTCCTCTGGCCTCATCCATCCTGGGACGTGGTCTCTGGAATGTGGCCCATTGGGGAATGTGGCCCTTGGGCTGAAAAAGTTCCCCCGCCCATCATAAGCAAAGCAGCACCAGCTGTGGCTATCGTGAAGACTTAGCCACGGTGGCGAAACCCAAAGCTTGGCTTAGGCAATTCACATTGCATTGAACCCGTTGAATACATTAAAACACAGAATACGTTTCATTGGTATAGAACATTCAGTCCTTATCTGCAAATGTTCTCTGCTAGATACGAAGTGTACAAATTGCTTTAGAAACGCCATCCCAGCCATTCAGTGATTACGGCAAACAGCAGAGGCGAGGGCAGCATCTCTGATGTATTCATTGCTATTGCGGCTCGCTTTCCTATGTGAATGTCCACCCCACATGACCTGATTTTGAAATGAATGGAGGGATACTTGCTTGCATTGCAGTTGTGGGCTGTTCGTATTAGAACACCCACAGAGTTTGGGGTCACATGCATTCAGTTTGAGAAGGACAGTTTTATGCGTTTTCTCTGTGTCTGAAAACTGGAAGAATGGCATAAAAGACAGCCCGAGCCAACCAATTCCCTTTTTGAAAACTACCCCTGAGTTTCTAATCCATGTGGTTGTAAGGGTGGGCGGGGTGCACAGAGAGATGATGGGATCACATAGTATGTGCTGTAGCTTCAGAAAGCAAAAATAGGTTTGTTCAGAGTTTCAGGATGTTTAGTTCCTGCATTGCAGGGGTTGCACTCAGTGACCCTTGAGGTGCCTTCCAGCTCTATCAAAAGGTAAGATCTTTTTATTCTGAGGAACCCTCTACCCCCCCCCCCATTGCTTTCAGTCACTTATTGGGTTCTTTTCCTTTAACTGTACTGTAGTAAATTCCAGATTATGCAAAACCCCAGATTTTGCAGTTGAATAAAGGAGCTAAATTAAGTACATTTGTATCTGTTAGTATTCCTGTTGTAAGCTGCCTTGGAGATCATTTGATTGAAAAGAGGTGCTGAGAATGTTAAAATGAATAAAGGGGTGGGGGAGATAATGAAACACAGTTTTTGGAATGTGGAATTTTCTTAGGGTTAAAATAAAGACCCGTGTATAAATGAAGACCTTTGCAATGTGATCTTAACTGTCAAAATTAAGCAACCCTGCTTTCAGTGGGATGTGCTCCCAAGTCATTCTGTTAAGGATTATAGCCAAAGGCAACACACACAGAGACACACATCTGGGAATAAGCCCAACAGAACTTACTATTTGCAAATAAACACATATAATGTCAGACTGCCATCCATCAAAGCTGAAACGGCAACTGTTCTTTCCGCGGAAGCCATGCTACTCTCATGACCTGTCAACACACACACAAAAAGGAGACCGTGGCTTGCTGCTCTAGTATGAGCTACAGTGTCTGCACCAGGGAACCTGTGGACATCCAGATGTTGGTGGACTGCAGCTTCCACCATGCCTGACCACTGGCCAGGCTAGCTGGGGCAGATGGCAGTTGGAGTTCAACATCATCTAGAAGTCTACAGGTCAGCCACCCCTCATCTCCATGGGCATGACAAATAATGAGATGTCACCACTAGGTTCTCCCTTGGCACACTGTATCATTTGGGGGACCTTGCCCCAAACTTCTAGACTGGAGTTCTCACAGGGGTAAGAATTAACAGATAGAAATCAGAAAGAACATGAGATGAGCTGTTTAATAGGCATGGTTCTCCCCCTCCCACCTTCCAATACTAGATTTATAGTGTGCGGGGAAAGTATGTATAAACAATGACATCAAGTAGTCTCTTCTGGCTTTCACTCCATCAGATTGGTTCAGGCCAGTGCATCATCTGCTGCAGAGTAACAGATGCTTCAAAGGAAACACAGCACAGTAGTGCATTGCCTCATTTTTTGTTAACATTCATGTCCTAAAAGTTTTCCCTCTCTAGGGCCATCTGGGATGACAAGCATGGCCATCTTAGCAACTAGCCTTGCTCCAGAACAGGGGTAGCCAATGTGGAGACTTCCAGATGTTGGCCTCCAACTCTCAGAAAGCCAGCCAGCCTGGCCAATGGTCGGCTCCCACCATTGCTGCAGTCCAACATCACTTGGAAGGCTTCACATTGACTACTCTTCCCTACTGTGGAATACCTACACTGTTGTCATTTCTAAGATCTACCTGTGCTACCACACTTTGCCTTTTTCTGCAACCCATATTTTGGTATAGCCATGACGTGCCAGGGGAGCTCCCTGCTACACATCCACGAGTGCTTTCGACTGGAAAATATAGAGAGTAGTGCCCAAACGGCTCCACCAGCACTTTGGCAAAACTATAAGGCCTATATTATATTGAATTAAATAATGGGTGGGTTTGCTTCATGGTTAAAAATAGTCTATTAGGGCATCCTCACGCTGTGCTCACCCTTCTCACTCTTACTGCTTTGACAGAGTAGGAGGGGTTTAAATATGCACATGCACACATCTTGCTTAGAACCAGAATGCAGCATGTTCCCCTAATTAACCTTTGGTCTACAGCTGTCTGCCGAATAGTATGGACATGATAGATGATAGATAGATAGATAGATGATAGATAGATAGATAGATAGATAGATAGATAGATAGATGATAGATAGAGAGAGAGAGAGAGAGAGAGAGAGAGAGAGAGATGATAGATAGATAGATGATAGATGATAGATAGATAGATAGATAGATAGATAGAGGATAGATAGATAGACAGATAGATAGATAGATAGATAGATAGATAGATGATAGATAGAACAGAACAACACACATATTCTTCTTTGCAATTCATGAAGCCATGTTTAGACATCTCTCCATGCACAAAATTCTGGGAAAAGTTTGTTTCTTTGCCTACAGCAATTTCCTTAAGTAAGCAACCCTGCTGCTCAGGTTGCAAGAGAATTCAATAGCCAGCAAGCAATGTGGTGAACAGACTAGCACAAGGTCATTGGCCAACAGCTGAGGGAGAGGGTTATTGGAGTTGTAAGGCTACTCTCCATGTTGCTAGGACCTCGGACAGCAGCTAAGATCACCACTCTCAACAGCTAAGCAACTTTAACATCAGCTATGGTACTCCTATCTCTGATTACCTGGTAGGGCTCTGTTTATAAATCAGCTTTGGGACTAGATTGCCTGGTACACATCCCATCTAATTTTATTATTTGCCACCAAGAATCAAAAATCCAGTATAAGCAGTGGTTATGCCAAGTCATCAGCAAAATAAGGATGATAAGACTAGAGTCCCTTAAAGTCCTGTTGTGGAGATGACTGAGATTAATAAATGTGAAGTGTGTGGACCACTTTCTAAGCATAAATAGGCTCCCTTCCCATGTGTGACATTCTGGAGCTAACTTGTTGGTCCAGGTCCAGAGGAGGTAGCATATAGTTTTGTGCCTGAGGAAGAAAGCCCAAATAGTTCTCTACATATTAGCACAAATATAATTACTGCCAATGTGATGTCCTTAAAATGATGACCCAGCTGCTGCCACCTGAAGCAGGTTGCCTTAGTCTAATACAGGGGTGGTCTAAAGTGTGGCCCTCCAGATGTTGTTGGATGCCAGTTCTCATTATCTTTGACCACTGGCCAGGCTGGCTGGGGTTGATGGAAGCCTGTGTCCTACAACATCAGAAGGGCACTAGGTTTCCCTAAAGGTACCCCTGACCATTAGGTCCAGTCGTGACCGACTCTGGGGTTGCGGCGCTCATCTCGCTCTATGGGCCGAGGGAGCCGGCGTTTGTCCGCAGACAGCTTCCGGGTCATGTGGCCAGCATGACAAAGCCGCTTCTGGTGAACCAGAACAGCGCACAGAAACGCCGTTTACCTTCCCGCCAGAGCGGTTCCTATTTATCTACTTGCACTTTGACATGCTTTCGAACTGCTAGGTTGGCAGGAGCTGGGACAGAGCAACAGGAGCTCACCCCATCACGGGGATTCAAACTGCCGACCTTCTGATCAGCAAGTCCTAGGCTCTGTGGTTTAACCCACATCGCCACCCGCGTCCCTATCTCTGGTCTAATAGAAGGACCATCCTTGTAAGTAGCCAAAATCAGAAGCACTTCTCCTGGGTGGATGTTATCTTGTGAGGAGGAGACTTTAGAGATACATGGCAAAGTTTGGCATCTTTGTCCTACCTGCCATGTGATGGCTGCTGTCACACAGTCACCTAGCATAAGCTCCTAGGCTATTCATGCAAGGCTGTTGTTGAATCCTCCCAAATGTAGAGTTGCTTCCTTTGTTTACTTCACTTTTGCCTGAAGCCAAAAGTATAAACCCCAGTTGGCAAGGTTTACCAGTCAGATAATAATTACCTGCTCATGGGATTGCTTGGCACCAGGAAGTTAGAATGCAAAATGAAGTTTCCTTAATGATCTTACACTGAGAACTTTTTCAGGCGTCTCGAAGGATGTTATTAAAAAGTGCATGGGAGTTTACCAGGTGAAACTGTTTTCAGAGTTTATCAAACTTGGTCCTAACAAGAGAGGCGTATGCAAAAACCCCTAAAGGCATCTTAAAGCAAAGAGGTACAACCACTTAACGGATAAAATAGAAATGTTTGTCTCAAAAAAAAAAAAAAAAAGGAAAAGAAAACCCCTCTGCAGAGTTCAGCTTCACTCTTCATTGTTCTTATGAACAATCACATTAACAATTTCCCCATTTACATTCCAACAAAGTACAAAAGTTGGTCTTTGTGTAGCAACAACAACAACAACACATTCAAAATGCACTAGGTACAAACTTACAATTTTAGAGCATGATTTCAAGGGGAATGTTAAGCATGTGCTTAAATCAGCCCACACTGAAATCAGTGGAACTTTAGTGCTTTCTGGAAGTTACTCTCAATCAAGACAGAAGCAAAGGAAATTGAAAAGGAAAAGGAAGAAGGTTTCTCTTCTTGGCCTTCTCTTGGCAAGTCACCAAAATGTCCTGCAGTTAGAACATCAATCCTTGACATACAGAAGAATGCATCAAGTAAACACTGGTTATTTCCAAAAAAGAAAAAATGGAAGCAAATAAGAGGGGGGAACCCTCTGTCACATTGTTTAGCAATATTCTTCACAATGTGCCATGGGGATATTATTTAATTCTGCAAATGTTGTAGGAGTAGTCGGACTGTGAATGTCTGTCAGGTGATGCATCAAGTCCCCAGTTGTGCTGTGGATGGTGTTGATGTACATTGTCCAAGCCTTTTCTGGATCGGAAGACTTGGATTTAGCCTTTAAACTTCTCTCCAGTTTTTTCTGTTTATACTTAAATTCCAGAATAGTTTTTGTGTATCTGTTCATTGTGGTCACTGAGGAAGCCATACAGCAGGCAAATGAGCCCCAGGCAAGACTGTCAAGAAAACAACAAGATCATGAATAAAATGGCAGTGCTCCCACCACTGGTTTGTAAAGCCCCAATGTTAACCACAACCCACACCTGTAGCTTCCTGAGAAATGTTCTGTTTTGATATGCTTTCCCCCAAACCAGTTTCTATCTGATTTGAAAACACATAAGCCATGTGAAGACTTCCATGCCCCCCCTCCATCTGCTGCTGTGGACAGTCAGTAGGCAACTTGTGTGTGCAATGACATGCAAATGGAAACACAGAGAAAAAACAACCTTCCCGTGTTTGAAGCTGGTAATGTGTACATGCCCATACACACTCGCACACCTTGTTTGCTTTTAAAAGTGCTTCTGCACTACACACACGTAGCTGCATAACTGTTTTTGTGCAGCCTGTAGACTGAAAATGGAGCTTCCGTTTAAAAACATCACCACCAGTGCACAACTTTTTGCTGGGTATGGTGAGCATTTTCAAAAGAGCAGACACAGGAAGCTGCCTTATTCTGAGTCAGCACACTGGGTCTATCTAGGCCAGCTCAGTACGGTGGACACTGACTGGCAGCAGCTCTCCATGGTTTCAGGCAGGGAGTCTAGCCCTGACCTAGCTGAAAATGCCGAAGATTGAACCTGAGACCTTCTGCATGCAAAGCAGATGCTCTACCACTGAGCCCTTTCCCAAGGACCATGCAAAAGTACTGCATTAATTATGCTTTTGTAGTTAATACTTTCTAGTCCACCCATCAACATTTCAATGTGAAAGATATGCTTCTGAGAAGGGAGGCTGAACCTGCAACTCCTGTCCACAGACACCTCTACCCCTCCATAGTGTCAGTTTTTTTAATGCCATTTCCTTTGCTGCCATTTCTATCGTTTAGAGCTTCTTTCTAATCCACTGCAGGATCCCACTTAATCAGAGAATACACAATGGATGTGGCTATTTTCTGCTACATAGTCAATCCGAATGCAAGCTGAACTAAGGGCAATGCTTTCTGCGCTGGTCACATGGGTGATTCCCAACCAGTTATATTACTGGCTGCGCTCTTCCTCTAAAGTGACTGCACAGGCAAATACTCACACTGGCCCAAGGTACTTTGGGATACCATTGGAAGTTTGAAACCTTCCCAGGCCTGTGGCAAACTCTATTGTGTGCTGCCTCTTTACAAACTGGAGAAGATTTCATAGGCTCTCTCATCTGGAGGACTGCAGCGGTCGTTTTCTTCTGTGCTTCCCTGGTCACTAACGCCTCATCGACTAAGCAGAAAGGAAACCATAGGTGTCTGGACTAGGAAACTGACTAGACAGTTTCCTCATGATACTTGGCTCTTTCTACACAACTACTTCTTTTAGCTTGTTCCATATTTATTTGGTACTTGAAAAGCAAATGTGTGGAGGCCCTTTTCTTTTCTCTTTTGCACAACTAGCCCCGGATTTAACCAAACAATCAGAATGATTAGCGGGCCATGTTCATCCATTTGTTGTTATGTTTTCCCCCATTGCCCCCCCCAGCTTACCAGTAGGACCAGCCATAATCCCAGGTCTGTGGGCGCCAGTCCTCTGGACCAAGATTGACGGTCATTTGAAATACAGTTGTATACATCATGTGAGCCACCATTCCCAGGAGACCTGAAATATTTCACAATGCTTTGTTAGCAGGAACCTCTTTTTAATTCACATTTGCAGATCCATCAGGTTGATTTCCTCCTCTCCCCTCCCAAAGCAGCCCAAGGGAACAAACAGCAAACAGTTAAAAAATACACACCATGCAATAAAAATTAAACAAATGCAATCAAGAGCATCTAAAAACATTTTTAAAACTCAAATGTATACCCAGGCTTATAGAAGCACTAGGTGAAATTCCGGGGGGGGGGGAGGGGGGAGGTTGACAGAACATCTCAAAGGCAGTAATCTCTTCAGCTGCTCAATACCAAATGAATTCTGTTGTCATTAGTTAGAGATTTGTGACAAATAATGTTGAGGCTTCACCTTTTTCTTCAGACCTTAAGCCTGTCTGCCTGAAAAGGCTTAGCTCCTGATGGTTCATACTTGACTGAATAAGGAAGATAAAGATAAAGCCCCTCTCATATGGAGGCAGGTGAGGGGCACACAACTAATCCACCCAACTGGATTTATTTGGTATGAGGCCATTGCACAAACTGAAGGACACCATGAGAAGTGGACCATAAGGATTGCAGAATTCAAGCCCAAAGTCGCAGCTGCTGCTTGGGGCATATTCCAGGAAGTGACATACTTAGATGTCTTAGATACTTAGTGACATACTTAGATTTTGACACAGGCAGCTGCCTCACACCATTTCGACTAGTCACCCATTTAGCCTAGTTTTGTCTCCTCTGACTGGCAGCAGCTCTCCAAGGTCTCAGGTGCATCTGCCTACTTCATCATTAACTTTTAGGAAGAATCTAAAAACGTTCTTATTTACTCTGGCTGAAAGATCTGTTCCTAGCATCCCTGAAATTATTAGCTGTGACATTCAGTGATTTTTACTTAGAAGTTCTAAACCGATCTTTAGAGGGTTGTTTTTGAACTGTTTTTAAGAGTTTTGATTGTATACTGTTGTTGATGTTTTCAATGACAGAGGTGGGCTTCTTCAGGAGGAAGGCTGCTTATATAAATTTAATAAGTAATAATAAAATACCTGCCAGGACGGTGAAGATCGCAGCAAACGCATTGAGCTTCAGCCCATCTAGCATGCTGATGGAATAGCAAATTTCAATCAACATGAGAGCGACGCCCATCAGAAGCAAAGCAATGTAGAGGAGCTCTGCCGCAATGGAGAGCCACAGGACCCCTGGAACAACAAAGGTCAGCAGCTCTGAGAATCCTACATGCCCCAAGACCTCCCCCCCCATTCTGTATCCATTAAGCTGTCAATATATGCACATAAAAGGGACATGGGTGGCGCTGTGGGTTAAACCACAGAGCCTAGGACTTGCCAATCAGAAGGTCAGCGGTTCAAATCCCTGTGACGGGGTGAGCTCCCATTGTTCGGTCCCTGCTCCTGCCAACCTAGCAGTTCAAAAGCACGTCAAAGTGCAAGTAGATAAATAGGTACCGCTCCGGAGGGAAGGTAAAAGGCGTTTCCGTGCACTGCTCTGGTTCGCCAGAAGCAGCTTAGTCATGCTGGCCACATGACCCGGAAGCTGTACACCGGCTCCCTTGGCCAATAAAGCGAAATGAGTGCCGCAACCCCAGAGTCGGTCACGACTGGACCTAATGGTCAGGGGTCCCTTTACCTTTACTTTATATGCACATAAAGTTAAAACAGTTGCAGCCCTGCCCTTTATTGTGGCTTCAACTGCTTTTTATTGGAGCTGGTTATCACTGAGTTTTCACAGATGGTGCAGGAGAAGTTCATCTTGAATCCTTAAACCCCAGTCCATAGGTATGTGCCAGGATATGTGCAATGGAACAGAGCAACTTACTCCAGTACAGTTACAGCTGCATTATGAACCTAGTGGGGCTGAGTATGTCAGATCCTCTATTTGCATCCCAACCTACCTTAAGCAGGAAGTCTAGCTGCAAGCAACCAATCAACAAATTTTATTGGTTATAGCCAACGACATCACAATACAGTATGAGAACAAATCACATCCAGCTGCACACACTCTCCTGGTTACTCTTCATCCAGGGTGCTCTCACTACCACCTTGGAAATCATGTTACATTAGATACAATTCGTATCTATCCTGTCGTTTCTTATGAAATGCTGTGTTTTGATGAGTTCCCCCCCCCCAAAAAACAAGCTTCAATCTGAATAGAGAAAAAGAAGGACCTAGCTGCACTTTACTTAGCTGGTAATGTGTACACAGCCTCAGTCTCCTGAGCTGTACACTAACTTGAGGAAGGCTATGGGGAGCAGCCAGGTCCACCCCCCGTCCCCCACTGTAGATTCCCTTAGCCAAGTGAGCCAGATCTGCAAAAGAAAGAATTTCAACAGGTGTAGTTTGTCATGCCAGCTCCTCTTGCTGAAATCCCCATGCCTACAAAATTTGGCTGCTTTAAACTCAGCCTGGAGACACAACTTCTTGTCCAAGACAGAGGCTGCTTACACAGTCCCTGCTTAAAATAGAGTGGGGTTGCTCTTTTTCTCACTTCGGATTGAAGCTGGTTTGGAGAAAAACAGATCCAAGCATAGCATTTCCTAAGAAACGACAGGATAGGCACAGGATAAACAAGGATTGTGGCTAATGTTGTGTGTATATCTCTTTCAAAACCAGCAGTGGGAGCGTACTGGACACAGAGAAGACAGGAGTATGCACACAGCTAGAGTCATTTTCCAGAAGGATGAATGGAAGCAAAAGGTGCTAGCTTTCCCAAAACTATTCCCCACCACCCTGCGGAGGATGCCACCATTTCCTAAACCTTTTCAAACACCTTGGGTTTCAGCTTCTAAACTGAGTTCGGGTTTCTTTGGGAATTATCCAAGGTAATATGCACTAGAGCTAGAATAAATAATCCCACCACAAATACGCGCAGATACCAAATTTGGCAAACATTCAGAATACGTGGATTTGAGCCACTGTTTGTCCCATAGAAACGGGGATATATTTATTCTAGGGTTGTGTTTCCCATGACTCAGAACACCGAACATAAAGATAGAAAGAGCAGAAACTTGAATTAGTGACAGCATATAATTACCTCGATCCGCCGGGGGTGTCAGGCTGATAAAACTTCTACATTTCTCACCTATAAGGCATATAAAATGTACACTTTCAAATTATAGTTTGGAAGGGGGGAAAAACCTGAGCATCTCATCAGCCAGCTTAGCCTTCCCACCTTCCCAAGGCTTATAGGAACACAGCCTCCCACAAGCAACAAGAAGGGAGCTGTAAGCAGATGGTAGGGGAAGCCAGCGCGCTGAGCTAAAATGCTGCAGTGTTATTTGGAATGCAATCCCACCCCGGGGGGGGGGGGGAATTAAAAGAACAGGCATCCCACTTTGTGCCTATAAAACAAAGCAGAGGCAGGGCTCTATCCTGAGTGGGCTCTATCCACTCTAAATGTTCTTATAAATGCTTTTGGACCTGACTTCAAGTGATTCCCAAATGTTATTTTTCACCACTAACACTTCGCCTTATTCCAACCCAAAATGTCTAGTTTTGTCTCTGACTACCATCCTAGATCCCCAACACTCCCTACCAAACCTGACTGCCAGAGACAAGTTCTGCTTCCTTCTACACCCCTTCCTTCTCTTCTAACTTCAAAGCCAGGCTGTTGCCAAATCTTGCTGTATTTCCCACCAGAATTTCTGAGTTCCGCTTTCCCCTCCTGCTAAAACTCCGGCCCATGTGTCAGTCATATTTTGCCCATTTATCCCTCTGAGGAGTTCTCTCTTGGTGGCCATCTCTATGATTGTGTCATTGCACTGGCCCAGTTTGTGCAGTTAGTTACCCACGTAGGCGGATGCTGGAAATGGAACAGTGTGGGTAGAGTACCATGTGACAAATTATTCGTGCAAGTGGCACGCCACACAATTTGGGCAATTCTAATCCTTCCGAATTCAACTCCACCACTACACATGGCTCTGAACATTTTCCCCCTCCCACCCCATCACTGTCACTGTTAATGCTTAGGCAGTAAGCTTCTCAGGGCACCTTGACTTCTAGCATCATGTGAAACATCTTCTAGATTGAAGGTGTTGTATAAATGCATCCAAACTTAAGTCTAGCTGAAAGCCCAGGAAAGAAACAAAAAGGGCTTACTTGAAGAAGTACCTATAATTATGTGAGGTCATATCCACACCATCCATTTAAAGCACTCTTGTTCCACTTTAACATAATAATCATGGGAACTGTAGTTTGTGAAGGGTGTTTGGAATTGTGGCTCTGGGAGGGGTAAACTACATTTCTGAGGATTGTTTGGGGGAAGCGTTACATGCCAGAAGGTTGTTTGGAATTGGCCTGAGTTCTTAAATAGAAAAATTCACTGGAAGCAGAGCTGGTGACAAAGGTCAGCAAAGCTGGGGATCTGCTAGGATCCATGCGCCACCCAAAATGGTTGCCAAAGCACAGCAACATTTCGAGCACATTTTAGATAAGTTTCAGTGCAAAACACTGAGAAATAGAGGGCAACTCTAAAGCTATGCACACAGAGAACAGTGCTACTTAAAACCAGCGACGGAAGTTTATAATAGCACAAATCAGACTAAAAACAAAGGTGGGGGAGAGGACTACACATTTTTGCCAACCCTAGTAATGTTGGCAAATATTGGTAATGTGCATTGGGTTAAGATATCCCTGCCCTGTCTCCACCCACTGGTGTGTACATGGAGCAAGAGGTTTCAATACACATCAAACTATGCCAATATGTATAGCAGCATGCAGTTCAATCTGAAACACAGTGAGAGAGAAAACAGCCTCACTGTGTTTTAAGCCAGCAACGCATACATGACTTAATTCTTGGCTGGTGGGAGTGGCTGAATTGGTTCTGGCAACTTCCACCTTCACCTCAGGTAGGGGGAGCGGCTCTGTGGATAAAAATAAAGAAATTGTTCTACATTTCCTGATCTTTGCTGTTGAGGCTGAATGGTCAGCCACTTCATTTTGCGTGTGTTATTTTTAAGTGTGCACGTACTCAGCAGCACAGCTGTGAATAAAGCTGCGTGGATTGTTTGGTTTTAATTTTTCTGCAAAAAGTACATCCACATTATATGTGCACAGCTGTCCATAACATTGGCTCTACTAAACAAAAACAAAACAAAAAAGATCCCCTTGAATTTCCATTATTTTTACAAGGGACCACTCATCTGAATCATTAAATCACAGATCACGTCTATGGCTACAGATCGCACTGCAAAATTCACAGATCATACTGTAAAATATCATGGACCTTATGCTTCCCAGCATTGCCATGGCAGAAAAACATGGGTCTTAAGCATGGACCCTCATAATTTTTAGGCAGAATGCTACTGAAAATGCCATCAACTTACACATCACATCCAAACCCATTCACGGAACAATAAAAAACATATTTCCATCATCAGGCGAAAACATGTATCTGAACCACAGGTATCCTCAGGAAAAAGATAGTGCTAATTCAAGAGGATCTATTGTTGCTCAGCTGAATCCAACTCTTATCCCACAGCTTTGCTGTAATATCCAAGGTAGAGTTAATCATTGTTTCTCTCCCCAATCCATTTCTCCTTTTGAAGGTAATAATGTTTTGTCCAGGTTTTCCAGTTGACCTCCCTTCTGTCTTTCATTCTCCTCCCCACTAAAACTACTAGGAGAAGCTAAAAGCATGTGGACTCTCAGAAGAAAGCCCCATTGACTTCAGCTGGGGTTTCTCTTGGGTACAGAATTACAAACTAAGAGTGTCATGGGGGACACTTATTTAACAACAACTATTAATTAAGGGAGAATGAAGCAAGAGGATGGTGCCGAGGAAGAAAACAGGAATTATAGAATTGTAGCATTGGAAGGGGACCAGAAGAGTCATTTAACATAGGAATCTTTTGCCCAGTGACCCTGGTATAAAGAGTCTCATGCTCTACTGAATAAGCCATCTTCTGTTTGAATCATGACAATGGGGATTTCACTGGAGAGAGGGGTGTCTTTGACTTTCTTGTTGGTTTGGGGTGGAAGACTGGAGAATGCTTTCCTGGGTGCTTCTCTGTGATGCACGACCCTTTTGGTAGGAATGGGAGTTCACTGATGGACACAAGCAGCCCTGTTCAGCTAATTGGCTGATCTTACTCTTGAGAGTCCCATGGACTGAAAGAAGATCAAACCTATCCTTTCTTAAGGAAATCAGCCCTGAGTGCTCACTGGAAGGACAGATCTTGAAGCTGAGGCTCCGATACTTTGGCCACCTCATGAGAGGAGAAGACTCCCTGGAAAAGACCCTGATGTTGGGAAAGATTGAGGGCACAAGGAGAAGGGGACGACAGAGGACGAGATGGTTGGACAGTGTTCTCGAAGCCACCAGCATGAGTTTGACCAAACTGAGGGAGGCAGTGGAAGACAGGAGTGCCTGGCATGCTCTGGTCCATGGGGTCACGAAGAGTCGGACATGACTAAACGACTAAACAACAAACACACAGTCCAGTCTCCATGGGGAGCACGCATTGTGCTTTGGTTCTTTCCCCATATAGGAAGATGAAAGAGAGGCTCAGGAAAGCATAACAACCCACAAAATGCTGTGCACACATTCACCTGGGAGGAAGAGGGAGAGAGAAGGGTTTGTCTCTTGAATAGCCCATTTTATCTAAAACCACCAGCCACTCCTCATACACTCTAAACACAGGTGTGCAACACAGAATCTCAAAATAAATACAGCAGGTTTTTATATATTGTCCTGTGAACACAGAAGGGCCCTGCTGGATCTGGCCAAAGTTCCAACTAGCCCAGCACCCTGAGTTCACAACAGCCAACTAGATTCCTATGGGAAGCCCACATGCAAGACTTGATAACAGCACAGTGATGCCTTGGAAATTAAAGGTGCCTCAGTGTGGATGTACGGGAGATAATCCTTCACTTTTCCTCTCTGCATCTTCCTCTCCCCCCCACTCCCCTCCCCTGCTTCTTTCTGAAGCCTCAATTTGGTTTCTGGAGTAGCTGTCAAGAGCTGCTGTTCTCTTCATCATTTCAAGCAAATTAAACAAAAAACAAGATTACACTGGTGGTGTTTCTGAAGATGAATGTCATTGTACAAATGCCATCTCGACAGATGTCTAAGGGGGATTGATGGCATGCACAGGGTGCTTACTATCGCTTCTATGCAACAAATCAAGTTATTGTCCCACAGGAAAGAATCTGTTCTCCCACAGGAAAGATGTCATCATGAGAACAAGTAAACTGAGTGGACTTCCTGTGGCTGGAGGAAGTGCTATTAAAAAAATGGCACACAGCTAACAAATATGTTAGCTTTTACCATTAGACTTCAAAAAACAAGCTTCCTGTAAATAGTCTTCCTCCTCCTTTTCTTTTGGAAATAAGGGATATCACTCAAATTTATACAACCATACCCCTATAAGGTTGGACATCTTCCCACAAATCAGCTTAACCTCTTGCTCAGGAGAAATGATTACAAGAATCAGGTGAGGGGGTCATTTTTAGGGGAGAATTAGGGCTAAACATCCCCTACTAGTCTCGGTCTCTGAAACATCACTGCTGCAGTTGAGAAAAAACACATGGGGTTGGAAATCCCACATTGCACTTGTAAAGTTTAATTCCACCCTAGGACAATATGCAGTTCTGGTGAAATGCTCCTTCTAGTAATGTTTTGGTGAGTTATGTGGAGTTTAAAGAGGCAGTTTTTCATCAAGACAGACTTAGCTGGATCAGCAGTTATATTTACATAGGGGAAAAAATAACTAGGAGTAATATATCTTCCCACTCTGTTGCAAACTTTTGATTTCCTAACGCAGCCAAGAAGCCACAATGCCGATCCTTTGCTGCTGTACCAGCACTGATTTTCCACACTGAAACTCTTCTGAGTAAGTAAAACGTTTTCTCCTTTATCTGTGTCATGTCTTAAGACTCCCTTTTGCTCCAGAATACTACTAACTACAAGTGTGTGCGTGTTAATGAGTTTACCATTATTTATCACAGAATCATTTACAGTATTACTACTTCTTTTAAAAACCTATTTCCACTGATTTTTTTTTAAAAGGGAGCAGAGTCAATGACACATATGTTCTGCTTAACTATTTCTCCTGCACACTTTAAATATCGTGTTCCTCCTACTATTGGCTCCAAATATCTCTGTCTGTGTTATATTGTTGGGGTAACCTTTCCTATATGAGCCAGTGCTGGCGGGGAGGGGACAGACGGTGTGGGGGGGGGTCATCCCTCATCCCACCCCATTGGAATTGGAGGGGAATTGTGATAAGCGAGCTTAAGACAGAAATGTGACATGACCGGGGGGGGGATAACAACTCAACAAAGAATGCTATACCACTAAAATGGATCGTCTCCTCCCTATTAACCCACAAAGAAGCCTTTGACGATCACACTTCATTAGTAGCCATTTCTTTTAAAGCAAATTGTGCTTCAGAAGCAACATAGCTTGTTTGCGCTCCAATACCCCAGGGCGCGTAAGCTCTTGTTCCCGTTTTACAGATGGGAAAAGTGAGGTTCAAAGTGACTTGCCGGTGGCCGCGCAGGATGTCATTGCAAGACCCCCATTCTCCCCCTCCCGGCGCAGCCCCACCTCGGGAAGGAGCCTCCTCGCCCTTGAGACCAACCAGACGGTCCTCCTCTCCAGCTGCCCCCCCCGGCTCACCACTAGTCCCTGCTGCCCCGACGGGGAGGCCGCCACTCACCGTCTCCGAGGAGCAGCTCCTCGCAAGAGTACCAGATGCCGGCGTGAAACTTCCGGTCGACGAACTTGTCGTCTCCGGTCTCCCAGATATACTGGACCACGTTGCTGTCGTTGGGACCCCCGGAGGTGTTGAAGCGGATGCAGTGGGTGCCCCCTCGGAGCTCGCTGCACATGGGCTTGGCCACTTTGCGGGTCCCTTCGCACCAGTAGCTGCTGCTGAAGGCGGTGATGGAGAAGGTGAGCGACAGGCAGCTGAGCGAGAGCGCCGCCGAGGCTCGCTGCCGCCGGTCCACCCCCATCGCGCTGAGGACTGCCGCCTTGCAGAGGCTGCATCCAACGACGCCGAGCGAGGACAGGACGGGGCGCACGGGGAGAGGCAGCCTCGGGCTGCTGCCGCGCGCCTCTTGGCTAAGCCCCTGCTGGTGGAAAAAAAACCCCGCTCTCAAATCGCCGGTTCCCCCCGCAGCATCCAGCCAGTCACCAGGCTGCCGCTGGCCGTTTCTGAAGGTGAGGCGAGCAGGTGGGCAGAGCTGCCAAGACGCCTCCTTCCCGCCCCCTCCCTCAGCGCAGGATGGGAGCCGGGGATGAACAGGGCTGAGCCTCAAAAGCCTGCCGCCTCTGCCTGAGCTCAGCACGAGGAGGCTCTCCAAGAATGCCTCTGAGCATACAGAGTGCATTTCTTTCCCCGCGGAACAATGGGAACCCAGCTACCCCCCCCCCACAAAAAAGCACCGGGGGATGGATTAGGAGACAGAGCGCCAGGTGAAAAACTGCAAAAAGGCGTAAGCCCCAGGAGTGATCACTTTTATCAAGTCACGCGCCACAGCGCTGGAAAGCTGAGACCCAAAACCACACAGAGGCAGGGATCAGGCTAGGGGAAGGTGAGAAAGGAAATACGGGTAAGGGGAGCAAAGAGTGAAAACACACACACACTCCTCTCCTGATACTTAGGAATTAGATTAAGTGCAAAGTAAACACAGGAGGACTTGCTTTCCTGACTACCGGTATCTTGGGAAAGGTGCCAATGGTTTGTTTGTTTGGAAAGTCAAGTTTCGCACCCTCTGCATAAGTCCTGGTGCTGCTGCACACCTTGGAGCCCAGGGAAGTAGCGTGGGAAAGAGCCAGTGCGATGTAGGAGTTAGAGTGTGGACATCCAGTGCACATTTAAAGCGTGAGGTTTCACTTAAAGAATCCAGGGAGCTGTAGTTTGTTAAGGTTACAGTGGTACCTCAGGTTACATACGCTTCATGTTACATACGCTTCAGGTTACAGACTCCGCTAACCCAGAAATAGTGCTTCAGGTTAAGAACTTTGCTTCAGGATGAGAACAGAAATCGTGCTCTGGCGGCGCGGCGGCAGCAGAAGGCCCCATTAGCTAAATTGGTGCTTCAGGTTAAGAACAGTTTCAGGTTAAGAACAGACCTCCAGAACGAATTAAGTACTTAACCTGAGGTACCATTGTACTAGGAAGTGTAGCTCTGTGAGGGCGAAACTACAGTTCCCGGGTGAGGGGGAGCCATGTAATTTCAATGTGCACTGGGCGTCCTTTTTAAATGTATGGTGTGGATCTGCCCTCAGTTAAGCCTTGCTGCACACTTTCTGAGAAGCGAGCCCCATTGAATTTCATGGACTGTACCTCTTGAGTAAACACACATAAAATTGCACAGTCAGAGCACTTGGATTTTAGAACTACAGGAGGAGATGGCGCTTCCATTTGATTAAACCCTCAAACATCAGTTTAAGATTGTGGGCCAAGTTAATTATTGCAGGCATTCCAATAACATTTCTATTCCCATTTTATAAAGTCGGAGCCGAGAGACACTGATTTGTTCAAGGTCACCGCAAGTAATGGACGATCAGGGATTCTTCATAACAGATTCATTTCCTTGGGATTTTTGTTTAATCCCCCTTTCCTTCTGCACTTATCCATTTAGTGTAAGTATTACATCACAGCTTGAACAAACCAAACACTGTTTTTCTCCCTGATCCAGTAGTAATATACAGTGCCCATGTTTTCGCCGTGGCATTATATTTTTAAACATGATGTTTTCTAGTTATATACGGCCCAAACTTGGAGGTGGTGTGGGAGTGAGTACAGGCACTGGGGAAAACAAAAACCTGCTGTAATTTGCAAGTGAGGCAAACATTAGGAAGACTCCAAAAGAAAAGGGGGAAAAGAGCTCAAATTAAATGCCAAGCCAATAAACTTTTCTTTGCTTTTCTTTTTTGCTGTTTTAGCTAATTTAGGCAGCGTGGTGTGTTGAACTTTGGTTTAGCCTCCACATACTTGCTCTAGTAACTTAGTTGATTTGGGGGCAGTGACTAGATCTCCCTGAATTGACCTGTTTGGCCACAAAGTGTCTGTGTACTTTTTGTGTCAAATGGAAGGGATGGGGTCAGTAAAACCTGACTCCCTCCCAATCTGACCTTTCTACTCTGGGATGCATTTAGCCGTTTCCCCCAAGCAAGGCCAGTCCTCCACTTTAGGCAAAATGAGACAGCTGCCTCAGGCATCAGATGTGGGTGGTGGTGGTGCTGCCATTGAGGTGTTGGAGAACAGGGTTGTGTTTGCTAAACAGCCTATCCTTTCCTCCACTAACTTAACCAGCTGTCCTCCTGGCAAAGGAGAAAGTCCCATTCCCAGTGCTCAAGTAAGATTCAGTGCTCATGCCAATCAATTTCTGTGTGTGGAACTGAGGGAGGGGCATGTTTGTCCTTTGCCTCAAGCAGCAAAATATCTTGGGCCTGCCCCTAGGCCACTTCACTTTCATTATTGGAGTGGGGCTAAGGGGAAATGGCTGTTCGGTGATTTTGCTCCCCTCTCCATGTGCTCCATTTGACATTAAAGGTCAGCCCTCTGCCCTCTCCATCTTATGGTTTGTCTGGCCCATTTAGCCCTTTAAAAGGTTATATTCAGTTTCTTGGCAGAGCTTTTAACACAGGTCTGCAGCAGGGGGTGCAATTAATTCAGTGTGCCTCCGTGTAATGTATTGCAAACAAAGCCACAAAAGTAACCCAGGCATATATTTGTTAACCATGAGTGGCTAATTACTCCAATTAGGACAAAACCCCCAAAGCTTTGCCCCTCCCCCACTTGGTCACCTGGAATTTATTTTTACTCACCACTGGTGAACAGGAAGTGGCTATATAGAAGCCTGAATTACTGGTATGTTCACGTGACAATTCTACTCAGGTCTGGGATCACTTGATTTTCTCACAATGCTGAAGCTGGGCAACGTGTGTAAAGGTGAGAATATACTTTAAAAAAAATAATAATGACAGATTGTCTGGAGGGGGTAATTCCATGACTGTTGCAGCAAAAGCGACAGGTTTGTGGAACCTTAAAGCCGCAACAGATTCTATTCATTTTTAAGATGCCACAAGATTTTTTTTGTGGTTTTCAGATGAAGAGGTCGCTGCAGTATGGGTGATCTTCAGTTGACAAACAAAGATAAATCAAGGAAGATAGTGAGCTATTGCCTTGGTTAGAAAAAGAGATTGTATCACACTTCTGTTTCTGTATGACTACATGGTACTTGAAAGAAGTATGTGAGATCTTGCATACCCTTGATGTTCTTAGGCAGGGACCAGTGGCCTCCCAGCTGGTGTTGGGTTCAAACTTCCATCTTTCCCAGCTGGCATGGCCAGTGGTTAGGATGTGGTCCAACAACATCTGGAGGGTCACAGGTTCCCATCCCTGATCTTAGGCCATCTGTGCAGAGAGCATTTAGCATCGTGGAAGTGCTATTAAGGTCTAGAACATCTCACCCAAGCTATTGTGTTGTGTGGGGGGAATTGTGTGCCCTTCTCTGTGTGTCCTGGGGAAGTTGGACTGGCTTCCTCCTTGCTGTCCTTCTATTCCAGCAGGCCTTTGGGAACCAAATGTTTCTGAGGAAAGAGCTGGTGCTGTGATGTTTTTATTGTGGATCTTTTAATATTACTTTAATTCTGTTGAGGTTCAATGACATTTTGATTGTCTTTTCTACAGTTTTAGCTTGTTTAATTTGTGTAAGCCACATTGAATCCCAAATTGAGGGGGGGGAGTAGGGATATAAATAAATACTAGAATAATAACAATCTCACTGTAGATCTATTGCCAATGCCGATCACACGAATACCCCTGACTCCCAGTGGGTTATGCAGATTACACAGCAACCGGCTGTGTTTGGCTGCTGCTTTCCCCTTCCCCTTCACCAAACCAAGGAAACATGTCCCAGACCTGTGGAACATATGAATTCAACCTTCAATATAGAGGCTTGCAGCAGTGTACAGCATGAGATAAATGACGCTCCTGTTCTCTGTACTGATTTACCAAACACATATTCCAGAACATTTGAGAAATGAGGCACAGGCATATCTGATACAATTCCCCTGCACACAATTCTTCAGCCTCCTTTAATGTGCCTTTAAAAATCCTCCTTCCTAATGCTAACAACTCTTTCTAATTGCAGTTCGTTTTATGCCTGTGCTTCTCTGTGTCTTCCCTGAGATTCCTTATCGTTACAAAACTCCTGGTGGTGCCACATTAGTCTCTTTCTACCCCCCTTCCCTTCCTTTCACTGCATAAAAGCATGCTCACTTTTGCATCTTTAACATAGACTCATTAAGACAATGCTTTCCGTGGGTGCTTTTTCATTTAGTTTTCCTAACCATCAGCCAGGTTGGCAACCCTACAAGACATAAAGTACCTCTGCCCTGGTTACACCTTGTAGAACGTGTCCACCAACCAAGTGGCGAGTGACAAGATGGATCTCCTTATGCTGATTTCCAGTTACTCCCAAATTAAGTCAGGAAAAGATGTGAGCATAAGCACCCATGTTACTTTTTCTTCCTCAGGCCAAGATGTCTTTCCAGTAAGACATTTTAAGATAGAGAAAAGGAAGTGGGTAGTTGGGTTTTAGGTGCTCTTCCTGGTCACCCTCAGGGGCATACCTAGGGGTTGGTTAGGTTGGCCCCTGCCAAGGGTGCAGGCCGAGGGACGTGCAAAAATCATGCCTCTCCCCTCTGGCTCATTAGGCTGAGGGCTGCAGGTTGCCTACAGATGCCTAGATTGTCTTCCTACACTGTCCTTATTTAAGTAATGAGGTGAAAGTGGGAGCTTCCAGTTCTAAACCACAGGACCATCCATGGCCTGGCCTGACCTACCCCACATGACTTTTTGTGACGATACAGAAGGACATATAAATCAGCTGGAATAGGGAAATGTAGTGCTTCCTAAAAATTTGTTAGTTTTTATTAAAATATTATTCTTTTGTTGTATTTTACTTCGGGTGTTCCTTTTCGGAGAAGGGGGACCTTATTTGGGGGAACTGCTCCATGCCCCGACCCCCGACCACCTTAATCTGGCCTTTTGAAATTCAAATGCCGCTCATTTAAAGACTTTGGTCATGTCCGCTTTCCTTATTACATTGTTCCCACGCCTTCCCTTTCTTTTGAAAACTCGTGTAATGAATGTTTTCTCCCCATTTGCCAATCAGCCTCCATTTTCAACCAATTCCACCCTATTAGTCAAGATCAGTGCAAAAATAGCTGCTACCTAATTATTTCCCCCACCTTTTGGAGTCAGGAGTTAAGGCTGTGACACATATCAAGAGCTTACAGAACATACTGTGCTTCATTAGACTTCCCCCAGATATAGGGGGACTAATTCGTAGGGCAGAGTTCTCTACTGAACTTTCTACACTTTGTTGCACTCGCCAAAACCCAAATCTCATCAGACTACATTATACAAATTACCCAACGTTTGCATAGATACACTTGATTTGCAAAATTTAAGAGTACTTAAATGTTATTTTTGGAAACTAGCAATGTTTATTCAGCAGGGTTCTATACACCTGCCTGGCAGGGCTTCTTAACGAAGGCCTGCAGCTGGGCTTTCTGCTAATAGTCCAAGGAAAGTGGTGTGTGCAGCAGTTCAGTGGTGGGGAGCAATTGAGTTGCTGGGTGCCATTAAGGCTGGAGTGAGGAAGACAGGACCTCTGACTCTGATCATACTTGGGATCATGCTAGTCTGTGGAATAAACTGATAGAAAACAGTTGATATGCAATGGATGAGGGACTCGTGCTGAAGGCCAAACTCTACTTCAGCAGCTTTTGGATGGGGCAACTTTGAGCAGAGAAGCAATGGGATGGGTTCTTTTGGACAATATTCTAAATCTTCCAAAAAACAACAACACCCCACCAGCCCCCACTTCAAGTTCCATGTTCAGGTTTGCAGCAAAGTTTGCTGGTCTGGAACACAGCATGAGCGACAGCACCTTGAATGAGCATGATTTGGAGCTGAAAATTGGCCTGTGGGTATAACCTCCCCTCCCCAAAAAAACCTTCTATGCTCTAATTCACTCCCTCCTGAAGCTGCTTTTCAATAAGCAAAGTGGCCATCAAGCTTCAAACACACACGTGTTGTATGTCTAGTTTGACTCTTGGGTTATCTCCTTCGATAGTCTCTAGCAGATCATGGGTGCTTGTCTTTGAAAACTGGTAATTATACTGTCCTTTAGGCTCATCTCTATAGATGAACCCATGTCAGATTTCTTAAATGTGCTGGAAGACCACAGTGGCAAATGCAGATTTCACTCGGACACCAACAGCTCTGCATCTGTGAGCAATCGGTGTATGGGTTGGGTGCCCACTGCATTGTGTGGGTTTGTTTTGCTCTGAAGCGCAGCCAATAAATGGTAAATTGAACTGCAGGCCCATGCTAATGCAAAAAAGAGCTCGGGGTGGGAAACCATTGGACACACTGGCTTAGGGCTGATGGGAGTTGGAGTCTAACAACCCCTGGAGGGTCAAAGGTCTCCCAGTCCTGCCCAAAGTCTTTCGTATTTGCAAGGCTTACACACGTGTAGAACCAACAATCCAAATCACAGCATTGTGATCAAAGAGTATTTTCTGCAAGGTTATCTATCATGAACTCAGATCCTTTTCTTTGTCACTACTTTCCAGGATATATATTGTAAATATATTTTTAAAATAACTTTAATAAGCTTCCTGGTTTCCAGTTAGTATACATTGATGGCCATAAATCCTTGCCTGCTGCATTCAGGTCCTTCAACCAGGATGTTTAATCACCTTCAGCATTCTTGGGACAAGCCAATTGTAAACAATCAGATGTAGGAAAAACGTCCCTGTAGACTGAGCTGGTCTCATGCAAGAAAGTTAACAAGTCCACAGGATTGATTCCTATATATTCTTCTCATTCAGCCCCAAGCGGGATGGAGAGAGTGGGAGGGCTTAATTTCCTCTTGCTAACATATTTCAAGTCTCTGTCCAGTCACCTCGGGGCGGCAGTGGGGGGGGGGCAGAGCTAAAGAATATCGCTCAGCTGCCTGCATATTGGCAGCTGTTCAGGAAATGGCCTGTCAGATTGCTGCAGAAATAGGCTTTCCATGCTCATATTTGCTCCAGGACCACCTTTTCATCAACCGTCTTCCAGATAAAGTTTCCCAGTGACACAAGTCCTTTCCAAATCAGTGGGCACTTAGGAGTGTCATGAGAACAGAACTCCAATCCTGAGTCCTTCGTGATGCTTTTCTTATTCCTCATTGGCTGAGGGGATCGGCAACAAAAAGCAGATGTGCTTGTAAAGTTTATACTAAATTCTCACTGCCCCCCCTTTTTTCTTTCAACACAGAAGAAGCAAAAGGAAACCCGATTCTAAGGACTCTGCAGGTTGGAGCAGATTGATTATCTGTTGCTTTTTGCTGACATTCAGGAACTTATTCTAATGGGTAAAGAGTCACTCTTTGAAAGTGCAGATATTTTCAAAGAACACAGCGGGTGTGACCGAGATTGCTAAAGGAGATTACAAGCTAACTGGGTTGCAAGAGTCAGTGACTTGCTTGAGTATACAAATTTGCCACCCTGGATCACACTGGAACACCCAGTATTCTTCTACACCATGAAGCTGTACCCTGGGACATGTCCCGCACCCGTCTTTGCAATCACAATGCTGTTTCTGATCAAACAGGTAAGAAAATTTGCCATTTTAGCAATGATACATTTTAAAACATGAATGTTCCATTGGGCTGACATTTCTGCATACGCAAAACAGTGCGGCATGTTCACGAGCGGAGCTTATTTCACGGTATGTTGTGCAGCATGTAACTTGTTGTTTTTATAAGGCTTTGCATGGCAAGTTCTTTACCTCTTCCCTGCCAGCTATTGCTTTTCCTGTACAATTGCAATTGGAGACACTATATGTGTGATTTCAGATTTTCTACACCAGGCTTCATTTATTTCAGCACAGGTTTATTTTTTAAATGTTGTCCATTTCCAACTTGTTCATTTCACTTTTGCTATCCTCCCCGCCCCCCTTCTACCATCTATACATCTTGGGCTTCACAGAGGAGACATGAGAAACAGTGTCTATAAACATATCTTTTTGTGTCCACCGCTAAAACCTTCATAGGTGCTCTAAAAACTTATTAAAAGTCTGCTGTATTCCATAGCTTCAACAAATACATAGCATCAGCATATGAGTGCGGAACATTTAACTGTTGGCTTATTTTACCACTTAATCAGACCACTGTTCTCCCTCTAGATGCACATTTTCCCATCCATGTTACTGCTTAAGTGTCATGCCTTAAACCACCTTCTGGATAGCAGTATCGTTCAGATAACTTTGTGCCTCCAGTCTGCAAATTTTGAAAAGCCATATTTTCATCGAGAACCAAGTGAATTCGTCACCCGTTGACTCAAAAGGCTAGATTTCAATCAGCTCTGTTGCCTTATGAAAGATTTTCAGCATGGATGATGTCATCACAAAACATCTCTTGGTTTATGCAAGGTGCTTTAAGATACACATGCACACACGCACACACACACACACACACACACAGACACACACACACACAGAGAGAGAGAGAGAGTTATTCAACCTAGGAAGGAAAATTATTATTGTTGATTAGTGTTCCTAGGTAGGGGAGGACCATCATATTTATATCATTTGTTCTGTTGAGCTACCAGCTGATTAGAAGCAACACAGACAACAGGCTTAACATAGAGGCCAGTCCTGTGAGTCATTGTCCTGGCAAATGTGGCATTTGTGAACTGAGACAGGGTGTAATGGCTGCCATGCCAATCCAAGATTACCTGTAGATGCTCCCTGGTGTCACAAGTTAACCTAAGGTGTTTGTTCTGATGCAGAAGCATGGGCACTGCTACACAGGCAAAACAAGAGCCACGATAACCAGACTTCCACATATTGACTGGAACATCCACACAGTGGTTTATATACAAACTCCCCATCCAGGGCCGGCTTCACCATGAGGCAGAATGAGGCAGCCGCCTTAGGTGGCAGATGATAGTGGCAGGAAAGTGGATAGAGTTTGGCATCACATGAAGCCTCCACTGTAAGAGCCTCATAAGCTAGTCTGCTGCCCACAGGTGCAGTGGAGGATGCTCTCCCATTGCTGCCCTTGTCAAAGTAAGATTCAGCTGCCAGTCTGCTCAGCTTTTGTATCTAGAATGTTACGGTGGTGGGGAGTGTCATGTGGTCCTTTGCCTCAGGCAGTAAAATGTCATGTGCAGGCCCCTGACCCCAACATGGATGTACCGGTATGTCCTTCACAATGCGAAAATGGAGGGTATGCACAGTATGCTTAGAAACTGCACATGTTTGAACAAATAAATTATGAGCTGTGGGTGAAGACTGGGCATGGCCAGCAAGCACAATCCTTGATCCCCCATGCTCTGTGCATATATTGCCCCTACTTTGACCACCTGCACAGGGCTAATAAGTCTTCTCAAGTTTTAGTGGGCAGCTACCAATGCCAACTAAAACATAGATGACACAGAAGCAAGTGATTAGTAGTTGTCAGAAGAGTTAATTCCTCCTCCTCCTCCTTTTAAAAAAGCAATTTATCCCCAGGTAATAACACCTTCATATCAGTTGTGAATTTGTGTTTTGTGCTCACAAGAGAACCCCTTGGCTGAAGTGGATAGATCTGGACTCAGAAAGCACTGAATGACCCAAGCCAGACTCACCGCAATAGATGTACTCATGTTATATGGGGAAGGGAGGACAACAATATGGGGAGGGAAATGCCAGCCAGGACCCACAGCCTTTGGTTGCTGCTGTTGCAGCATTGCCCCATCACTTCGTGACACTTTTCCTCGTCCTTTTTTTTTTTTAAAGAAGTGTAGCTGGAGGCTGTGCTAGAGTACTCATATAGTGTGTGTGTGTGTGTGTGTGTGTGTGTGTGTGATGCTCTGAGCAGCTAAGACCCCTGCAGCCTAGTTCTTCTGCCGTACAGGAAGAAGAACCTGACCACATCTCTTGCAAGGGTACAGAAGAGCGCACTGCTTCTCAGGGTCAGGCCAGGGTTGCTCTAGTGCTAAGAATAGCATGAGCAGCAGTGCTATTTACTTTTGTCGCCCAGAAAGGCCCCTTGAATATTCTGAAGTCACTATTCTGGATTGGGATTCAATCACACAGTGTTAAATTGAGGTCATGCAGATTGTGCAGCAAACCTGCTTCGCGGGCGGAAAGTCAGACTCTTTGCAGCAAGGAAGGTGACAAGAAAATGCAACGGAAAGTGTGGAGTGACACTTGCTTTGGTGCAACGTCATCTGGCGTCCCAACAACCAAATAGGGACGCATGTTCAATAAACAGTTCATCTGGAAGCGTCCTACTTACTTGGTCTTCTCTGCCTTTGACCTCAAGAAATCTTTACTGTGAATCACATTGAGACGGTTGTTTAGAAGGTGATTCATAAATCAGTGATGGTGGTGATAGTCATAATCACAATAATTAATATAAGAGAAATTGCTTCCTTGCCAGCAGGCTCCTTCTGCACCCCCAGGCTATAGCACTAGACATTTAACTGAAGCTTCAGAGCTGGGCCATAGTCAGGACTGAAAATATTGCTGTATGGAGGATGGCTGGTGGAGAAACTAGCCTCTGTAGGCAGCAGAGCCAGAGGAACAAGAAGACGGAAGAGAAAAGGCTGCATCTTATTGCACAGAAATCTTTTAAAATGAGGTGAATGGGTTCCCCCTCCCGTGAGATTTTTGTATCCCATTCTTATGGTGTGTGTTTTGTAATACAGAAACCCTCTTGAAGCTGGCGTGGGGTTGCCAGATTGTGATGTGGAGAGCCCTCCTTTATTTTGGATTTGCTTCAGAATTGGAAGACTAGGGCAGTAACCATTTCCCCTTTATCCCTGCTGTCAAGCCCCCTATCTTTCTGCTGGGTGGTACATATGGATGGAGCAGAAATTTGATGCCATTCGCATTTGTACTACCTGATTTGCACTTTGGGGGGGGGCGAATCGCTCTTCTCTGAATTTTGCAATGCATTTCCCCAACCAAGTGATGTGTACAAAACAGATGTACTACGGTATAAAATGCACAAAAATGCAAAGATAACAAACAAACATGTGCTGTGTTCAGATAAAAATTGCTTCACAAAAATGTGTATATTGGGAGAAAGTGGCACTAAAATGCTGGTGAATTTTCAAAAGGGCTTTATTTAAAAAAAGAAAAGAAAAAAGAAAATCAGAAACTGATGTGGAAATGTGCAGAGCTGAACTTAAGTTTGGAAAATGAGAGAATGAGAAATGGGCACGTTCTCCTATCCCTCGTGGCACATGTGGACAGGTGAGAGAAGCAGATAGCAGCACCAAGGGAGGAAGGAGTAGAATTCAGCAACACATTTCAAAAGTAAAAAGGAGAATCTCCAGGTTGCAACCTGGCAAGTAAGGACATTTCTCTGTGTTAAAAATAAAACAAAGGAATACAGAGCAGCCATGTTTTAAAAGGCAGGGAAAGCAATTACTGGGGAAAAATGTTTAGCACAGTGGTGGGGAATCTCCAGATGTTTCTGGACTACTTTAAAAATGAAATATTATATTTAACATATATTGAGTATGAAGAAACTTAGGATGAGTGATAAAACTATATGTGGATAAGGCTGTTACCCATCATTTTCCACCTAACCTTTTTTGACAAATGATTACCTAAACATTCAATTTATAAATTTACTCCATCTATAAATACTTAAATTTTATATATTGAGCCACCATTTATGAAGAACTTCTCTAACATTTTCTAAGTTTAATAATAATAATAATAATAATAATAATAATAATAATAATAATATTAATACCATCTGGCTAATATTTAGTTGTTTATCAGGTTTACTTTTCCATTACTTTGTATGCAGAATCCTAGCCACTGCAATGATGTGTAATGCCTGATTTTGATGTTCTGGTCTTATGCAAGTCTTTTAAATAATTCCATAGGCACAAAGGGGGGGGAGAGTCTAATTGGACTTCATATTTGAAGGTCTCGGTGAGAACAGCACTACTATTCACCATATCTGAAGGGCCAAGAGTTTCCCAGCCCTGGTTTGAAATGTAAAATGCAAGAGGGGAGAAGGTTAAGGAGCCTACCCCCTCCCCAATACTTAGAACCTGAGATATGAGGCAAAATGGCTAGATGATTGCCCAGTTTCAGCTAACCGGTTCTGCTAGTAGAAGCCCATGCAAGGACTTATGTTAGTACAACTGGGCTTTCCCCCCTCTCCTCACCCCCACACACCCCCAAATTGGCTTAGGGGGGAGTGGGAGAAACTACAGAACAGCACATTAGGGGAGGGGAGGTTGTTCCATTAGCCAAGCAAAAATGTTTGTGTTGACAGAGCAATCTCCCTAGTGCTACATCAAATTATCCCCACCATTCTTCCAATTATTTGGAGGAATTAACCTATTCCTTGCGTTCAGTGGAAAAATTCTTGCCAATGCCCATTTCCACTGATGGGATAGAGTTAAGGAACCTCTCCCTCCCCCCTCCCCACAGGAGGGCCTCTACAGCTGCATTTTCCAAAAAATTTAATTGTTTGCACTTTGTGAACACCCACGCACAGGCACCGTCATGGAGAACACTACACATGGCCAATGAACATCCCATGCATCTTGACACTAAGCCCGAGGAGATGAAGAGCACCTGTAGGCTCCCTCTTGATTTGCTCTTTCAAGGCTGCTTGCTATCCCCCTTGTTCATTTGAAAGCCAAACTGTTTTCTGAGCCCAGCGAGCTTTCCACAAAACAACTGCGTCATCCCCATTCCATGCCTCTTAAGACAAGGTTCATTGACCAACAAACCTCCTCTCATCGCTTACATTTGGGGAGGGGCGGGGAAGCAGAGAGGGGGAAAGAGTAGGTGGGAAAAATCCATTTGGTTCCTGTCCCTAAAGGAGAATTCCTCTCTCATGCCTCTTTTGTAAATAGTTTTATCTTGAACGATCATCAAGTGACTCTTTATGCTCTCGACACTGGGCTCATTAATCGGCCCTCTGCGTTATCGGTTTTCCCTCTCTGATCAGTTCTCAAGATTTATATGCTGCCTGTTTTGGTGCAAGAGAGATTTATTTCTCCACTTCAAATCTGGAGGTGCTGTGGCTTTTCTGACCCAGATGATGTAGCAGAAGACTTAAAACTGAAACAGCAGTGGGGGTTGTGGCTAGAAAATAGAGAGGCACCCAGACTAGAGACTGGGAAACTGCGAAGCTTGTAGCACGTAGCAGAGACATAGGCTGCAAACACACAGTGCATTAAAGCACATTACTTTCCCACAGGATCCTGGGACCTGCAGTTTGTTAAGGGTCCTGGGGATTGTCGCTCTGGGAGGGGTAAACAAGACCTCCCAGGATTTTTTGGGGAAAGCCATGTGCTTTAAATGAATGGTTTGTATGCAGCCATATTCAAGCTGACCTTTTGGCTACAACATCCAGACTAGTTTTTTACAATGGGGGTATTTTCCCTAGTCCTCCATTCCTACCACCCACTATTTCATCTTGCCTGGTGAAGACTTACAGAGAACTCAAAAGCTTGCTGCTGTTTTGTGACAGTTTGGTGTGTCCTAATGCAGGCCTTGCCCAGCTGTGGGTTTTGATGTCTGGGAAAGGATGGCTTTGGTTCAGAGAGTCAGGGAGAAGGAAGAGAGTCAGAAAGAGTGTTGGGACATGATGAAGACAGAAAGCTGCTGCGAGTTGGCTTGTTTTAATGCCTGAGGAAGATCACTTAAACTGAATGCACACACCCACTTATTCACACAGGGCACAAACTGCTGGACACTTTTTCTGCGCAAATCCCACTGGACTGCACAAGAGCATGGCAGGAGAGTGCGTTTCTGCCAAACGGAGGGCACAGAATGATCAAGTTGCAGACAGTTGGCCAAACAGGTCAAAAGTTCACAGTGCGAAGCTCAGGGAATTGTTGGATGGAAAACAGGAAAAGATAACTCTATTCATATTCTGTGCTTCTCTTGAAGAATTTAGCAACCAATCCTGGAACGAAGTTTCTTCCTCACTGAAGCTTAAGGCAAGCATTTTGTTCAGTGTCTCCCTGCCAGCGCAGGGACATTTGCCAAGCTGTTAACAGCTCGAGACATCGCACACATGTGGGAAGGGCATTAATTCAGCTCCGTGACAAACATCTTTTTCTCTGGAACACTTCTCTGTATGGGCAGTCACTTTCAAGGGAGATTGCAAGGGTGGGCATCTGTTCAAAACGCTGACCCGGCCATTTGGGCAATTGTCCAAAAGCAACTCATCTTCCATTTTTGGTTAAGATCATCCCAAAGGTTCTCTTGGATACTTCCAATTCCTATATGGATGTAAAAAAAAAAAAAATGTTTAGTATGAAAAAAATTAAATGACACATGCAATCAACACTGGCGACGTACTCCAGATCCCAGTTAAACCAAAGAATCAAAGAATCAAAGGCCTTGTGTACGTCAACAGAAATAGTGGCGCACCTGCCGTATAAACTGGCATGGTTGAACAGTCAATGCTAATCCTTAAAGGAACTTTAGTGCTTGAAGATCCTTTTCTTTTTATGGAGTTCTGGGGCCACTCCATGCTACTAAGCATGATTGCTATGCTCTGCCTCCACACTTGGAAGGAGTAATGCTTCTGAATACTAGCTGCTGGAAACCTCAGGAGGGGACAGTGCTCTTGTGTTCAGGTCCTACTTGCAGGTTTCCCAGAGGCATCCGGCTGGCCACTATGAGAACAGGATGCTGGACTATGTGGACCATTGGCCTGATCTAGCAGAGCTTTTCTCACCTTCCCATGACTCCCCCTCCCCTCCAGAGGTGTACACGTACGTGTGTGTGTGTGTGTGTTGGAGGGTGTCAGCTGTGAAGAGGCCATACCTGTATAATAGGGAATGGTAGTTCTTTGGGCAGACTATGGATCTTTAACAACTGCACTCAGCTGCAATCTGCAGAATATTGTAGAGGAAAGCGAAAGCAGTTAAATTGGTTTAAAAAAGTAAATTGCATTAGATTGCAGACATCACTTCCATCATCTTCAACTCAAGTACTTTTCCTTAACTGGGTTGCAACTCAGGCGGCTGCCCTCAAGCCAATTAATGACAATCAGTCATATTTCATTGTTTAAAACCAGAGGTTATGACACTTGGAGTCAGAGTGACAACAGAACGCTAATGGACCATTTTAACCAAAAACATCACTCATCCACCCTGCAGGACCGTTGCTGCCGCAAGATACAATTACATATTATATAGATGATAAATGACCAATTTCCATTCACTTTATTAAGTGGGGCCTTCTACCATCAAATTTGCGTCACGTCCTGACCATGCCAGTTTCAGGAAGTGTCAGCTGGTAGGCAGACGTATCGTCACTCAAGTCAATCAATTTGATTTCCTTTTGATGCAGGAGAATTCAGCCCTTAAAACTGGATATCTCCCAACAATTCATAAGCATGCCTACTCAACAACATTAAAGTCTCACATCAAACATAACCAATCTATAGAAAGCACTTTATGATAATGGAAGTAGGAACAATGTTTGTAGTATTGTAACCTAAGAAAATCCTTAATAATTGGTGTGTGTTTTTTAAAGCATGCCTACTCCTCACATTTAAGTCTGTGCTTAACAGCCGTGGATGCTATCAGGGATGTCTGGGGGGTGGGAAATTTTGTAAGTGTATGAAAAATTGTTTATTTAGGATCCCTAGACTAAATTTCCAAGGTTCTTTGAGTGGAAGCTGTGGCAGCTAAACCAGTTTATATTGTTGATAAATATATGGCCTTAGAGCGCATGAGGCTCTGTCTGCACTTTCACAAATCTACGTTTCCCAACTTTGTCCCCTTCAACAGACTAGAAAGTTGGGAAATAAGTACCCATTTACATATAAATCAACTAGCATGGTACCGTGAGGTTATATTGTTCTGGCTTGCACTTTTAGAGGGTAGGCAAAAATGGGCTGATGACTCTAATTTTGCAATTATCAAGTTACATAAACATCAAAATATTGCCTTTGGCTTTAGAACCACTTTTTAGCATCACTTACAACACACCTATGAATGATTACCTAGTCATATGTTCCATTGATCTCAAAGGGGCGTACTGCCTTGTAAGTTTGTTTAGGATTACAGCTTTACTCAACACTCCTGCATTTGTAAATTTTGGTTTAATGTTCTGGGAAGGGCTCTCATCCTGAACATGAGATTACTGTGAGTTCAAGTGGGCAGACTTACTAAGGGACAAACATCAGCAGGAGAGGGGAGGCACCAGTTGTTGAGAAAGAGGAATGTATATGTCTGAGGTCTCTGAATATTCTACCTTGCAACGGCACTGGAGCTGTCAGTAGAGAAGAGTTTCTATTATACGCCTGTCATTTCAGTAGACAGCAATGCCTCAGCAGTAAGATAAAACCTGTCAACACACCAAAACTGCTTTGATCAGGAACAGAAGATGTCAAGTGCGTAACAGAAAAGATTCTGTCTCCCCCCCAAAGATGTCAGCAGTTAGCTTGGCTCTACGCTGAAAAATAGAAGGGGAATGAAAGATAGAAAAGGTAAAACATAGGCGGAGGGCCAATATGAGAGAAAGAAGGAAAGAAAAATGTAAGTGGGAAGTTGTAGAGTTTTTTGTGTGTGTTTTGATGTTTCACAGACATTAAAGTTTATTGCCAAGGTCAGCATTTCTGTTTCACATCATATCGAGGAAGGTGGTGAATATATTGCATTTCTGCATGCTCAGGTGATGCAAGGGACTTATATCAGGAACTGCAGTTTGTGAAACTAGTAAGTTTCAATTCAAGGTTGATCAAAACTCCCTTGTCTGTCTCATGAGAGCAGTGGAGGGAATGTCAGTTTCCCTCCGTCACACAGAATCACATTCAGATATGTCACATTTACATTTGCTTTTTAAAATAATTTTTATTAAAGATTTTCCTCGTTTACAAAAGCACATGCATTGTCTCTTTCTTCAGGTTGTGTTTTCTACAGATCAGTTACATTTGTTGTAAGACATTGGTGTTATATGCAGTATAGGGTTGGGAAAAAGGAAGAGGGACGGGAGAGAGTGGGTGGTAAAGCTTATGTTCTTTTACTTAGTGTATGCATGGGGCTTTGTGTCAGCATCACTTGAGTAGGTTCTCTTTCTATTCGCTTGTTATGTTTCCTTGGTGGTGAGAGAGGTTGGGGTTGCCTAGGGTGTGGTTGATTTGTTTGTGCGTGGGGGTGGGGGTTGTTTGGTTATGTTAGCCATATTGAATTGAATCCAAGAGTTCTATGGCTCCTTAAAAATAGACACATTTATTGTGGTGCAATACTGCCAGAGGTGTAAAAGTAGGCTCCACTTACACCTGACATTTTGGCTTAGGTCAGTGAATTACCTCCAGTTAGTATTTAGAGCATGATTTCAACTATCTAAATACAGCAGTTAGCAAAGCTACAGCGGATGCAATTATTTACAGTTGTGTTTAGGAGAACTTAGAAAACTGGATTTATATTAAGTGTCCTAAAAAATGTTCATTTTTCTTCTTCTTTTATGTTATTAAAATACATAATCAAGAATAAAACAAAACCATCACAGAAAACAGCTATGAAATATTGAAGCAGAATCAAAAAGGAGGCCAAAGACATCAGTAATACATTCCAGTATTTCAATACATTCCAGAAATTATAACAAGTCTATAAACACCATTAATATGGCTATCCCTTATGCTAGTTCCATCTTCTGTCCTCATCCACAGCATTCCTCACAACGAGAATCAGCCGTCACTTTCAGCAACTCTGACCTTCCCTCAGCTTAGTGCCCTCCAGAAGTTTTGGACCACAACTCCCATCTGCTTCAGCCAACATGGCAAATGGTCAGGGATGATGGGAATTGTACTTCAAAGTTATCTGGAGGTTACTAGGTTGGGCAAGGCTGAGTAGATGGCTCTCAAGGGCAATTGGACTTGCCCTGCATAATTCTGCCTATCATTGGCCCCTTGAATTTCCAGCTACAGATTAGCACAAGTGGGAGAAGACTCCTGCTTGTAGGATTTCTATAAACATCTGGTTCGCCATACTGTGAAAAATGATGCTGGGCTAGATCAGTGTTTGATCTGATTGAGCATGCCTCTTCTTATGTTCCTACCATACCAGAACCCATTCTCAGTATGGAGGTATGCAAGAACCTGAAGGAAAGATTAAAGAGTGCAGGGTGCATAGAAGCCACTCCTAGGGGCCAAGGTACCTTTGGCCCTCCCAGTAACATATTTGAGGTGGCGGGGGGGGGGGGGAGTTGATGGGCATTGCCATTCAAATGGTGTGTGCACACTGTGTCTTGTGATTGATTATGCAGGGTGGGGCTTACCTGCCGGGGGGGCATATTTTATTCAGGGTGTAATTAAATAAAGAAAACTAAAGAACATTTGCTAGGAGATAAAAACGGGGTAAGAAGAGAGCATGGAGGTGCCAATATGAACTTGCGTCTTTCGGACTGCTTGGCCACTGGTAAACTGACAATGTGTCACCTCACATACTAAGGGAATGGTTATTATATTTGACTGGATGCAACTCCTGAAGACAACCTCTCATTTAAGTTTAGCCTCTCCACTTTAGCTGTCTCAGTCTGTCATCCGGTAACATTTTGTTTCATGTCCAATGTTAAAAATCAGCCATTCACTAAGCTGCCACAGTGCCTAAGAGCTGACATGTCAAACATTGTGTAACTGGCAATTAACATGTCCTATTTACTTTGTTGAGGGAAATGTGTTGGAAGAAATGTTTCCCCAAGAGAATAGCTTAGTGGGAGAAGTGTGGGTTGTTACTGTATGGTGTTGGGGCACTCAAAGCCAAATTGGATGAGCTGTTGCCAGAATACAGATATAAAATGATGACCTCGTTCTCTTAACGCACCTTTTGGGAAGCAACTGACTTCCATATTCAAATGGTTCATATGCAATGTTTTCTTTGCTTGCAGGCTGAAGGATCTTATGAGAAAATAAGAGTGAATTTGCTTAACTATAAAGAAGCATGCTTGAAAATGTTGCATGAGTCTGCAATCAGCCCAGGTAAGAAAGCAACCTTCACCATCATCAACGCACAAATAATAGTTTGCGAAGCTTGTAGAAATGTGTTGTGTCCAAATCAGCAGTACATGAACCTAACGTCACTGCAAAGCTTTCAGCTTGTGCAGTGGAGAATTCATCCTCCCTCTTTCCCTGCAATCTATTCTAGGGGCTCCCTCAACCCTGTGGAGCAGATTTGGGGAGGGTGCATGGGGGAGGGAAGAAATGAAAGTCCCATTTGCAAGTGGAAATCCTTGAATTGGTGGGATGTGTTAGCTGAATACTGCCCAGTGATAGCTAAAAGATCATGAATAGTAGGGCTTCTCACCAAAATGGATGCAAGTATAAAGAGCAAGAAATGGTGGAAATTTGGTGAGTAGGATAGGGAGAAGAATGGGATGTATTTTACTGAATATGCTAAGACGGCATATTGCGGGATCAGAACAGCTTTTGGATCCTTTGGTGTCAAGTCACTTTCTCAGTCTCCCTCCACACCCCTGAAAGGCCCCCATTTGGCCTCTACCATCAGTTGGGTCAGGGCAATGAATGCTTCATTGGCAGTGGGGATGGGAATATTGGATATATTGCCCCGAGAATATCATTCTCAGGGCCTAAGGATTAAACCCTTGGTATCCTCAATCTCTCAGAGGGAGAGGGATTTGTTATGACATGTTCTTGTTTGTTTGACAGTCAACAGTATTGTCAAAGCTGGTGCAGTGCAGACTGGGAGTGTGAACTGGAACAGAAGCAGTTCAAATGTAATCTCAAACAAGAACTTGCATAGACAAGCCACTGTTCCTTCAGCCTTCATTTTTAATACGGTTGTGATAATAGTACTTTTCTACTACTACCTTAAGGTGGCTGTTTACTGAGATAATTTATGCAAATGTCTTGTTTGTTGTTGTTAATATTTACTGAACCTCCTTGGGAACATCTTGTTTCATTTTCTGTCAGTCATCTTAATTCATTTCCTGCTGACATTTGGTATGAGGATGTGATCTGGCCAAGATAATAATATTTATGTGTTGTCATAAAAATTACTGAGGTATTCTGTATGAATGCTATCATCATTATTTTGTTGATTATTCATTTCTAATCCTTTCAACTAACCATTTGGCCTCTTGGGAACATCTTGTTATATTTGTTCTCACTCACCTACATTCATTTCCTGTTGATATATGTGGTCATGATGTGGTCAAAATGATAATCAGCCAGCTTTGTGCTTGTTTTGGTTGCTTGCTTCAGTAATTTTGATGCCTTGGTTCCATTCATGCCCCCATCCCCAAAGTTTGATTGATAAATGTTCTTGAGAACTTTGGTTGAAATCTAAATCACCATCTATATCTAGCTGAAATGCTTATCTAAGTAGCACAAGTAGCAGCTTAGCACAAGGGTGGCTGCTGGTATGCTTCACTGTAAGTCTTACGTTTAGTGCTCAAAGTGGCAGAAAAAGGAACGTAAGAGGGTTTCATTTCAAGTTTGGTCAGATTCTGTTATGTCTGTTGCAAAGAAGTGGAACTGCATCCCCTCCTGCTTTTGAGCCCTGCTTATGTCAAGCTGTAAACTTCATTTAGAGATATTAATTTAAATACTACAAGATGCGCAGAGGTATGTATCTTAGGTGCAACATCAATATGGCTTGGTTTGAACACACTGCATTCCTTGGTGATCAGTTGCCTGTATCCTTTCGTGAATGTTAAAAGACTCTCCCTCTCTCTCAGGAATATACTGCAATGGGAGTTTTGATGAATTTGTTTGCTGGCCTCATTCACCTCCAGGAATAGTCTCGGTTCCCTGCCCACATTATTTACCATGGATAGAAAATGGTAAGGCAAGACTTGGGAATATATGCACATTGCAAAGCTGTAATATATATGAGAACATTTCTCTTTCCTTCTAGAGTTCTGTACTGGGTACCTTGTCGTGCAAAGAAACTGCTAACTGAGAGTCTTCAACACTGATGGCGTAGGGTAGCTTCTTAAAGAAATCAAATCTCTCCTGACACATACTCAGAAATCCAATTCTGCCACACTCCATACATAGTATGATGTATGGATTATGATGTACAGCCAAGGTAGAAACATGATTTCGTCAGCAGACTCCTACAGTAGTAAGGAGGAGACAATATGGGGAGGCAAGGAAGCAAGCAAGCTTTAAAGGAGCCAATGAGATCACACAAGAACAAAAGAGGGAAGGTGGCCAGATTTACTTAATCCCCCTTTGGAATCTGCAGTCCTGAATTGGTTAATTATACAATATCAATGACTGCTTCTCAACCCCAAGCACAAATAATCGAAAGCATGTAAGATGGAATTAAGTGAAATACAATCTTATCCCTTGGGTTTAAACACTGACAGGGGCTTTAGAAACAAGGAATTAGGAGAATTTGACAGTGTTAATCCATTGATAAATATTAAGCTTTCTACAGTTACCTCCCAAATAAACAGACATTACAAAGAGCCACATACATCCAGCCAAGTCTCCATTTTCAGGGGTCTCTAGGCAAGTGATGAAAGGATGACGGCACTAAACCATGTCTGAAAAATGAAATGTGTGGCTTGACCTTTGAGCCTGCGTCTGTTTACATTTAGGAAGTGCAAGAAACGTATACAGAATCTGCTTGGACCAAGGGATTTGGAAAAAAGTTGAAAACTCCACTGTGGTCTGGGATAACCGCACTGAATGTTCTGGGGACAGCCACTACCAGAGAAAAGTGAGTAGAGATGCCTTTTTATGGTTTAATACAGTAACCTGCTTAATCCCCTCTGGAAATCCTCTTGATCAAATTGTTTCCACTGAGTACTTCACCTGAAAATGGGTAGTCTGTGTGTTTATTTAGAAGAGAGAATTGGGTCAACTCAGGCTGGATGCTTAGGTTGAGCACATTCTTCCCCCCAACGTTTCTTGGATTTCTGACTGCTGAGCTGGTTTGAAAAGATATGAGGAGAATGAGTCAAGCCATTAGAAGAGAGAGGCACTATATAAATATAATGAGCAATAATTTTCACTTTCACCTTTTCTTCCATACGGTACATACAAATTCATATGGGAATCTGCACCTATGACTATTCCAGCCACATAAAACTACTCTGAGATGTAATGAACTCTCATGAGGAATTTAGCTTTTTTTATACACACACACACACACACACACACACACTTTCCACCTACTAGTTACGTATGGATAGGAGTTACATGCACATAATATGGAACTCTGCAAAACAATGAGTATAACCTTTAATCTAGGTCACAGATAGAGCACATCTGGGACATTTTCCAAAATGATTCACAGAATGTAAGTGTGGAATGTGGGATGTAATCCACTGGGAGCAGTCAAATATAACATTCCTTGTTTTCCTAGAGTGGACATGCAAGTGGATGTTGGTCCAGCCAGTCGAACTTTCTGTTACACCTGGCTGGAGCATCCTTCCTTGCATGTGATTAGTGGGTGGGCTTGACCTTTCCAGACCTGGTAAAAGGCCAAGGCATGCTGCCACCCTCCCTCTTTTCCATCTTCCTTTCATCCTGTGAACTTCCTGGACTGAACTGCTGGCTGCCAGCCAAGCAGTCCTCCAGATCATCTCCCTTATGGGGTAAACCTGTTTGTATATGTTTGTAACTTTAAGCCTAAAGCCTGCCTTCAGGGATCACACTGATCGTAAGTAAAACTACTTTTTGTTACTTATGAATAAGAGTGTGGTGTCTTTATTCTTTTAGGATGGATTTAAAAGGGGATCTTACCAGGAACATACAATTCAATCTGAGGCAGATTGAATTGCATAATAGTAAGAGGTTCTAACGAGCCTGGAACCAGCTTTCTGCTGTGAGTAAGAAGGGGAATGTAAACTCTGCTAAGTAAAGAAACTTGCTAACACAAGTTAGGAAGGATATTAATAAACAATATATCCTCTCCTGCCACCCTCAACATTCCCCACAGATGTCCATCCAGGAGGAGGGAAAACAAAATGGGCAGATCATCTCTCTCTCTCTCCTGGCTGTATAAGCAGAATGCACTTCCATATGTACAAGGGAAGGGGAATTTCCTTTAACTGGCAGCACCTTAAGGTGTGGTGCTCTGGACGGCCTCTCTGGTCCTGGGAATTTTGAGGGAATGGGGACTATCAAGCCTAGCATACCTAGGTACCTTTGTAAGCTTACAAAGACAGCATAAAGGAGATCATAATTTTGCCAAATTGATTGCCCTCAGCATCAGGTAACCAGAGGTTCCATTTAAGTAATGACTAATAATAGGTCAGGGGACGCGGGTGGCGCTGTGGGTAAAACCTCAGTGCCTAGGGCTTGCCGATCGCATGGTCGGCGGTTCGAATCCCCATGGTGGGGTGAGCTGCCGTCTTTCGGTCCCAGCTCCTGCCCACCTAGCAGTTCGAAAGCACCCCTAAGTGCAAGTAGATAAATAGGTACCGCTTTATAGCGGGAAGGTAAACGGCGTTTCCATGTGCTGCGCTGGTGCTGGCTCACCAGAGCAGCTTCGTCACGCTGGCCACGTGACCCGGAAGTGTCTCCGGACAGTGCTGGCCCCCGGCCTCTTAAGTGAGATGGGCGCACAACCCTAGAGTCGGACACGACTGGCCCGTACGGGCAGGGGTACCTAATAATAGGTCACCACAAATGTCTGATAAACACATCTGGTTTCCAAAACAGTGAGGGCTCATAGGAATGTTTAGAAAGATAGGAGAGGATATGTTAATTAGGTATGAATCAAGGCAAACAGCAATCCATGGAAAGCCCAATTGCTGATTGGCTCTGATTCAGCAGTAAAATGCAGGTTTTCCTGGGGAAAGCACCAAGACAAACAAAAAACAAAAAAACCACACCATGCTTAGACACAGAGCTTTAAAGCCTGGACCTGTGCCTAAAAACATGGCACAAAATGAAGTCTGAATGAGCCCTGAGTTATGTGTTAGAGTGATCTTCTACAGATGAGATGAGAAACCTGTAGTCCTCCAGATGTTCTTGAATTACAACACCCATCATCCCTGGCCACTGACTGGGGCTGTTGGAAGTTGATGTCCAACAAAATTTGGAGGACCACAAATTTCTCATTGCTGTTCTACAGAATTTTCTCTCCTGGCTTGATCTCTTTCCCAGACTTTACATCAATTTAACTCCTTTGCATTTCTGTTGTTCTTAGGATGAAGAACAAACATTGTGGATCTCCACCCTGTACATTTATACTGTGGGATATACTTTTTCTCTTGTTTCCCTTGTCTTAGCGCTTTTCATACTGATGCTGCTCAGGTCAGTATAATCTATCTTTCAGTAAAACATGGTGTTCTGGCATTACCCAGTGGTACATTTTCCAGTTGCCAGGTGCTGGGATTTAGACCTGGGTTTGCATTATAATCTAACATTAAATGATGGCTGGTGTCATCCTGGACAAAATGAGAGAAACTTCCCTCTTCCCAGATCAATCAAAGGATCCACTCACCTAATAATAATGCTGAAGTTGCCCTGGTCATACCACCCCTATGAGACCATGAAATCTGTACAGTTTTAATTGCATTGTGTATCATGGCAGCTGAGAGGGATAGAGTGGTGATCAGATGTTATCACTGGGCCACCTGTTACCTGAGCATTATAAAAGAAGGCAAAAGATTGCATAATGTAAGTAGGCCTTTGTGCAAGGAATAAACTAGATGTTGACTAACAAGCTTCCAAATCTAATGTTTCCTTTGCAAAAGTCTTGCAACAAATGAGCAATGCCCACAGGACAGAATAAATTAATTGGACATGATTCCTACTAATGCTTGCCTGCCTACTGATTCTCCCCTGAAAATGTTCACACAAGCAGTTTCTAACCCTCCCCAGCGAAGCAGTTGTGCTCCAAAACTGGCGATGAACCCAGCTAGCGTGGAAATGGCAAAGGTGGGTGGAAATCTTTGTAGCCAGCATGAGTTAAGCATCCCCCTTCTGCTGATCTTCTCCTGTAAGTGTTCCACTAGTCTCAGCACTCCCATTCTTAGCAAATTATTGACTGGGATGAGAGATGTATTTCCACCCTAAGTAGTGTTTGTCTTTTTCTGCTGCAACATGAGGCCATCTAATAGCAATGGCAGCAGTGAGGTCCTCTTGCTCATCAGCCCTATAGGAGGGACACACACACACACACACACACACACACACACACACACAATTTTTTTTATTTAGGAGCAGGCATCCCCGGCTCTGCAGTTCTCTGCGGAGAGTATATATTGTAAACCACGCAATACCACACCAACTTTGCCACTGCCTCTTTCCCTTTCTTGCTTCACAGAAAATGAGCAACAGAGATGGGAGCCCCTATACTCTTGGTTGTCAGGTGTGCTCAGCCCAGTGTGGGATAAGACAGGAATTATGCTACTGGAACAACATGCAGGCCTAGCTGACCCAAGTGTCCTTAGCACCCATAGCCACTAAGCCCCCACCAGGAAGGAAGAACATTTACAGCAGGGCAAGAGCATGCTGTTATTCAGATCAGAATAAAACCAGCTTCAGTGGATTCTTAAGAGGATGCTTCTCTTCTTCCACAGGAAACTGCACTGCACAAGGAACTACATCCATATGAATCTGTTCGTTGCATTCATTTTGCGAGCCGCAGGAGTTCTCATCAAAGACAGAACAACCCACAGCACTTATGTATTTCTTTATGTGGACTCTGAAAAGCCAAGTGATCTAAATGGATGGATATCATTCTCAAGTCCAGAGGTACGGCATTGTTAAAAGCAAGTGGGTGGAAGAAAGAGCATCTAATGATACCTGGAGTTGCTATGTGTTCATGGCTGAATTCTGTAGCTGCAAAGCTTGCTAGAAAACTGTTGTTGATTGAACTCATTCAAAGCGTTGCATTCCATGCTGAGCATCCTTTGCTAGCAAGTTTCAAGCTCTGCATACTTTCTTTTGTATGACGGTAACTGGCACACAAGTATGAAAATAGCTAGAAAATTCCTTCGTTTATTTATTTATTCATAAAGCTTATAGACTGATTATTATTTTTACCAAAAAAAACTAAAGTGGTATGCCAGTTAAAAAGCAGATAAAACAAGACATCTAAAAACAAGGTAAATGGCAAGTTAAAACAACTGGAGGAACAAAAGATGGATATGTCCAGAAGATTTACACAAGTGTATGCTGTCTTCCTCAGATGGCCTGCAGCCAGCACATACCACTCACAATACAGATGCATTTAAGGCATAATTATACTACTTTGACAGCCATGGATTGCAGGTAGTTTTTAGGAGAGCCCTTTATGCTCCTCGCAGAGCTACAATTGCTAGAGTAGTTTAACCATCAAGCCTTCTTCCCATAGAATTCTGAGAACTTTGAGATTGTACTTTGGCTCATTTGACCCTGTTGGACTCTTGGGCCTTTGCATTGCTCATGCAGCAGAGACCAAGTTAGCAGCTTGTTTCGTTTGAAGGCTAGCTTGGCAGTGCAGAAGGAAGGTATCTGGGCCCTGCTGCTAGTATCCTCCATTCAAGAACCACCCAGCCACAGAGCTTTGTAGTCATTAACATTTAACAAAACTGCTTTAGAAGAATAGAGCTTTTCAAATATTCATTTTGACTGACAAGTATCTGACTTGCTTAACAAAAATTCCACATATCTGTATGTACCAAGCTGTATTTTGATAATTGGTAGTACCAAGTTTTACTTTGCTGTTGACGGTTGTTCAATATTAACTTTTCTTCTCACTATCTCATTTCCACAGAAGTTGTTCCTATGCAGGATGGCTCAGCTTTTGATGCATTATGTTGTTGGGGCAAATTTCTTCTGGATTTTAGTGGAAGGGATTTACCTCCATAGATTATTGGTAGCCACTGTGCTCTCTGAGAAACATCTGCTGTTGAGATACATATTCATTGGATGGGGTAAATATACAGATTTTTTCCCCAGCAGCGCGTATAGTCCACTGTTTCAGGATAGGTTAGCATCAGTCTAAAACCCATGTCATCAAGGCAGCTGCAGTCACGAAGGCCATGTCTATATTGGAGATAAGCCACCCCTCTCTATGTCACAACTGCCCTGGGCCACCTTGGGAGGAAAGGCAATATATAAAAGTACAATAAACAGAATAAATAATAATCACCATCTGAGAAATGATCCAAACCCTGCCCTGCATTTTGACATCAGATTATTATAAGCATACTCTTCTTTTAACTTTGTTGCTGCTTTTAGCTGCTCAGAGACTGTCCTTGGATAAAGAGGGTTACAAAAATGTATGACTGAATCAACAAGAGAAAAAAGTTGCTGTGATCAATAGCCTTTGCCTTGTACACAAATTAGTAATATTCCCTCCCATCCCTATATTCCAGCCACTCCATTATTATTTAGTCCACATGCACAACAACTGTTACATATTGCCCATTGTGAAGTCACATTGTTCCTGCATCTCAATTTTTCCCAGGTTTTCCAGTTCTGTTTGTGGCTTCCTGGGGAATAACAAAATACCAACTGGAGTATGAGGGGTAAGTGACTGTTTCCAAATGCTCCTCTGGCTTGGTTTGTTGCTTCAGTTTCTGCCAAGATAATAGAAGGCATGGCCTGCTGGTTTAAACAAAGGTCTTCGGATGGATATAGACAAACATTTTGTTCTGTGGTGGTCATTTGTAAACATGCTGTGGAGATGGTGATCTAGAGTATATGGCCAGATCGTGATAGTGACTTTGCTAAAACACATACACACACCCAAGCACCACCAGTTTCTGATTTTCTAATCCCCCTATTATTGATGTTTATGTGGACACAGTAAGATCAGTCTTGTGAATGGTATAGGAAAGCTTAGCTGATGTGGGCCTGATCAGGACTTGAACAAGAGGCCACTGAGAACTTGATACAAGCTGCTCTGAGCTTTTGAAAGAAAGAGTGGGATGTAAGTATAATTAATAAATAGACCTCATGCTACACCCAGTTGGTTCCTAATGCTAAACCAAAGGAATTAAGTGAAGTTAACCTGGCGTTTAGATGCACCTAGTGGAACACAAATGAGTCATCATCATTTGCTTCAATAGGTATCAGTTGCTTAAGCCTCCATTAGGAAGCTCATTATAAAAATAAGAAATTGCATTACAGCCCACTATGGCCACAACCATTAGAATAATGGTCTTGTGTTATGGGAAAATGCATGCCTTGGGATTACTTGCTTGGGAATGGATTATTGTATACAATTGATTTTGAAAAATGTAATCTTGATGAGTAATCTGATTAGTCCTCTTGGCAAAAAAAAAGCAACCAGGTTCGCAGGTCCTATCCAAATCTATTTAAAAATAATGTGGCTTGCCATTTGTGCTTATGTGAGCTGACAGAATAATTTTGACTTACTTCCTAGATGCTGGGCAACACATCACAACATGGCATTCTGGTGGATCATTCGAGGGCCCATTTTATTTTCCATTGTTGTAAGCATCATGGCATAAATTTGATTAATTCTTTATACAGTTGTGGTGGTATGTTTCTGTTATATTATTTGCAAGGGGAAACATCTGGTACACAGCAGGGTGAGACTGACTTGGCCCTTTCCATGATTTGTGTCTCTCTGTATTTTACAAAATAAAGACACGGGACTAACCCTAAATAATTTAAAGCAAGGATTGATTGAACAAAAATGGCTGTGGAAGGCATAAGGCAGGACAGGGATTAAAGGTGGGGGAGAAGTTTGCATTAAACTGTGAACTGACTTAATCTGCACTTCCTGAAGCTATACATGGACTGAAACCAGCTTCAAAATTCAGAAGATCAGAAAAAATGAGAACCAGAGAGTGTCCCAGAGAAGGATATGAGCAAGATAGTCTTGGGAACATGAACAGGCAAATGCTTTTGCATTTATATTTTTAAAAGAGAGATTACATGCTATGATACCCATTCAAATAAATGAGAGCATGTAAACATGGATGCAGGTATTATTTGTGTGTGATACGTAAGATATTGGCAAGGGTACTTGTCCTTGGTGTTCTTTTCCATCCGCTACTGATGCTCCCTGTTCCAGCAACCATTAATAAAGATCAAAAGTATCTTGGATCAAAAGCCTGACCTAAAGAAAGGGGTGGGGACAGAATGAGCTAAGAGAAATGGCAGGAAAAATTGTCTAAATGTGATGGGTAGAAAATCTCTAGAAACAATGTCTTCACACGTTCAGAGGCTGCAATACTAAACACATTTACCTGAGAGTAAACTCAACTGAATTTAATAGGACTTACTTCTGAGTAAACATGGTTAAGATTGTGCTGTGAATTGTTGCTTGTGGGTTAATTTCTTGTGATTGCCCCATTGCTAGCCAAATAATGTTCATTGCATTTACTGAAACTAACCAAGAGATGTGTTTCTTTGAAGGTTAACTTCTGCATCTTTCTAAAAATTGTGAAGCTGCTACTTTCCAAACTTAAAGCCCAGCAAATGAGCTTTCGTGATTATAAATTCAGGTAAATATTACATTCTCAGATTTGTACTAATCTACTTAGCCTTCTACAGTACTTTTTAAACTGAAAGAAGAATCCATTGATTATGTTCCAGTTCATTCTACACAAGAATTTCCTACACGTCTATTTTTCTTTGTTACATGTGCTGGAGAGAGAGGTTTGGACGAGATTCTAACTATCTTGGCAGAGTTGCACAATGGCTGATTGCACCAGGCACTTTTATGCTTGGTTACATCTTACCATGGGCAGCCTCATCCACCTTTAAACAAGCATTCACCAGGAACATACTTAGGCTAGAATATATCACAGTCATGTTGTTTTGCACGTAGGTGAATATTTTACTTACAAAGTTTCAATAATAGTCAGAGAGCATGTCTCTATTGTTATGAGTTGGGAGGCAGACCCTTCACAATCTCTACAATCAGTGAAGGGTTAGTATTTGAGGAAACTCATAAATTCATGACTTTAGCAAGGGCTGGAAACAATACCAACTAGCTTTCTTATGAGCCCAGCCTGGCAGTGGCTTGCTGGTGTTGGTCACTGAAGAAACAAAAGGCTGATAAGCGCCTAGTTTGTTTAATAATGGTAAACTCACTAAGACAATAAATCTGTGTCTGGGCTGTACCACTTCAGGTGAATTGTCATCTCCAAAACAACCGCAACATACTTATGCCCATAAAATTAATATGTCAGGGAGAAGGTGAAAAGGTTAAGGCTAATGACACCTTAAAGACTAGCAAGTTAGTTTACTATGACATAAGATTTTATGGATAACAATCTGCTTCTTCAGAAGAATGAAGTGTTATCCTGAGTTACAGGTACTTATCTACATGTTTGGAGGGCAGGGGCTGTAAGCAGTGAAGTCAGAAGGAAATGAAATTCGGCAAAGTACAGTCTATCATAGTTAGTGGTAATACATAGTACAGTTAAAAAGCCTTTATTCCAATTCAGTCCACAAGTGACAACATTGAACTTCTTGATAAAATTGTAATTCAACAATTTCATGTTGCTGGAGGTTTGACTAAAATCCTTAAATATATCCTTAATTACAGGGGTGGGGAAACTGGCCTTCCACGTGTTGTTTTTCCATAATCCCTGACAATTGGCCATACTGGCTGGGATTGATGGCAGACAAACAACACTGGTAGGACCACAGATCCACCACGCCTGCATTAATATATCAATATCTATGTATGAGGTTTGATCATTCTAATGCTAGCACCAAAGAAATGGAGGTGAGTGGATAATATCATGATTCCATTGAGATTTCTTGATGCAGTTTATTTCTAGGATTGAATTCATTCTTATGGTTATTTTTATTTTTAGACTGGCAAGATCAACCCTTGTGTTAATACCATTGCTTGGGATTCATGAGATTGTCTTTAACTTCATTGTGGATGAAAGAATTGATGGTCTTTCCAGGCACATAAAAGTCTTCATTCAGCTGACCCTGGGCTCCTTCCAAGTAAGTTCTTGTGCTGGAAGGGGCATTATTTATTACCACTAATTAATAAACAAAGGGCATTAATGAATATATATGATGAAATGAAAAGAAATAATAATCTTCATACTAAAACCATAGACAGAGCAGAGAGCAAAAAATCTTCAAAGAAAAAGACAACATAGGGTTGAATATTACAACTATTGTAATATAATGCTTATTTACCTGAGAAAGCGCCAAATTGCTTGTGTATAACTTTTAGACATCTAGAGCCACATCAGTAAACCATGGTTGCTGGAAATATTAGTGAATGAGGGAGGGAGGGAGCACTCTTTGATATATGGTTCTCAAGAAGAACTCTGTGGAAAATGTTCTTGAATATAAATAGCTGGTAAGGGTTTGCAAATGAATGCTGGAAAATTCGGGGAACAGACTATGTAAATTGATGAGTTAGCTGAGGAAATAGCAATTCAGGAAACAACTTTCAGAATAGCAAATATTAGAAATTAAAAATGATCATCACTCTTAAGACATGTGGTATACCATATTCTGTACTATTCTACAAATGCAATAAAGAACTTTGCAGCTAGTTCATTAACTATTAAATACAAATTCAGATTTGCTTGGGGATTTGTTGGTCCCAAAGAATGAGACATTTGGACTAAGTAAAGAGTTGCCATTAGTTCCATTTTTTTCAATGGGGAATTATGCAGTGTCTTTCAATCTTCATATATAAATCTGCCTGAGGAGAAATGTTTTGAGTCTTAGATGTCCTTAAATTCTTGCCAGCAGGAACCAGGTGCAAGAAGTCAGGTGTATATCAGTCCAATATGCATGTTTCTTGCATTACTACTTTTTTAGCATGTCAGTACTAAGTGGGGTTGGGGGGTCAGCTACTGAGCTTTAGGAAAACTGGCTAAATTTGATACTGCTCTTACAAGGTCTCACAATCACATCCTTGGGAGGGTTAAGTTCACAAGCTATACATGTAATTTTGCCCTAAACTTCAGTTGCAATATTTCCTGCACAACCTAATGCGAAATGCACAGATTAGGTCAAAGTGATATATTTCATGGGACCAACCTTAGTGGTTTAAAATTGCAAGCCTGACATTTCCTCGAGCAAAATTGTTCTAAGAAAAATAGAACAGAGTTTTGGGTACTGGTGCCTCATCACATGATACCTGAGAGATAAAGGTGATTTTTGAGCAAGGGGAAGTTAGTTGTGTTAATGTTCAATTTAGCAGCATGATGACTCAGGTTTCAGGTGTTTTCTAGGAACAATATTCTGTGATTGCATAAGCTTGTAGTTGAATTGTACCTTGGCAAATTTCATCCAGATCTAATTTACCTTCTCTCTCTTTTCCCTTCCAGGGTTTCTTTGTAGCACTTTTATACTGTTTTTCTAATGGAGAGGTAAAATATCCTTCTTGACCTTCATTTCTAACCACTTGTTTCTCTTGGAAGATGTTGCAGAACAGACTGACTGGTGCAGCTTGCACTTTGTCCTGTGTGACGTTCTTGGTGGTCACCTGGCATTTTATATCAGTTAGTATATATTGAAGAGTTATTCAGTTTTCCATTGTGTTCCTTGCAGTAGTTGGAGATATCATGCAAGGAACACAACCCCTTTCAGCTTGCTCCTTGAAACAGCAATATAGGGTACCTACTTGTAAACAGATCAACTTGCAATAAGCTGCCCATGCATGCCAGGCAAAAGGCCAGGATGCTGCCCTTGTGCCTCTAATTATGAGGAGGGGCACCAGCCTGTCCTGATGTGCAACAGATTGGAGTAGAGCTGAGCCCAAATGGAAGGGGGAACATTCCATTACATGAAGGTTTTCATTCTCCAGGAAGTGTTCTCCTCCCCTCTTCACTGAGGGCAGGGAGCAGAAACTGGTAGGAAGGAAGGATGGCAGAAAGATATGTGGAGAATGGGAGGCAGCAGCATAAACAGGGTGATATTCACAATATTCAGCTGCTGCACTGTAAAAAACATGAAGTCATTTAAATAGCAACTATTCGTAAGTGCCTGTGTACGCTGTCCAAGAACAGTGGTACCTCTGGTTACGTACTTAAATTGTTCCGGAGGTCCGTTCTTAACCTGAAACTGTTCTTAACCTGAAGCACCACTTTAGCTAATGGGGCCTCCCGCTGCTGCCACGCGATTTCTGTTCTCATCCTGAAGCAAAGTTCTTAACCCGAGGTACTATTTCTGGGTTAGCGGAGTCTGTAACCTGAAGCGTATGTAACCTGAAGCATATGTAACCCGAGGTACCACTGTATTGTGATAACATCAATGAGAAACCTGCTCTCTGTATAAAATGCACACAGAGTTCTGTGGGAACACATCAGGACAGTAAGGGGAAAGGTGTAAAGTAGATCGGGACCTCTTGAAAGGGGCATTAGGAGCAGGTGTACTGTGCTAAACACTGCAGAGAGGCCTAAGATTGTACTTTGTGCTGCAGGTCTCAGAGTAATTACTTGAGCAGTCAGGACTTCTGCCTGTTGGGTAGGTGTGGGGAATGAACTCTAACTTCCACCATCCCTGGCCATTGGCTACGCTTGCTTGGGCTGATGGGAGTTGGAGTTCTGCAATACCTGAAGACCCAAAGATTCCCTACTCTTGCTGTAGGGTAACCTAGCCACAGCATACCTGAACTAAGAAATTCTAGGCTTATCTGAAAGGACAGAAGCCCTAGGACGGGTCAAGGAAGCATTTATACTACATGCTGCAATCCATCTCAACTGTTCTGTTTGCTTTCCTTCCTTTTCCAGGTAAAAGCTGAACTGCGCAAGAAATGGTCCCATTTCTTGCTGGCATCCCCCTTTGTCTGCATGCCATGCTTTCTCGGAAAGAACATCAAGCACCTGGGGAGATGTTCCAAGAAAGAGCATTCGAACAATAATTGCTTCTCCCTGGAGGTGACTCAGCCTCAGAGCACACAAGTGGCAAAGCAGAGGACAGGCGGCAAAGCGGAGCTAAGCTTCGCATTAAAGCATATTCCCAGAGCAAGCCTCTCAGACAGCAGTGAAGGAGAAGTCACAATGGGGGAGACGACCGAGGAAGTCTTCGAAGAAAGCGAGATTTCGATTTGTAACAAAAGTAAAAATTGAGATACCTGATTAGATCAATGAGGGATCTTGCATCATGTGCCATGTGGGAACCGCTGGAAGTAGGTGGGGGGGGGGGGAGCCCGTGAAAGAAAAAAATGGTGAAAATAGCTTCTTAGCGTTTTCCTCCAGGTTGACTCTTCCCAGGTAATTTTTTCCCCCTGACAAAATTAAAGTCAGCCAAGCCTGGTAACTGCATGAAAATGGCTTCTCCTTGGTCCTACAAGAACCAGATATAAAATCAGGAATAAAAGGAATAGACTGAGCCCCTTGAAAGAGCCTGCTGTTTCTCTTATGTTTCCCAACATTGACTGCCACTATTGGAGCCATCAATCTGATCCCATGGGATTGCTCTGCAGCGTCTCAGAAAGGACAACCATTGCTTTTGTGATACTGCTAAACAAGAAGCTGAATTCCAACAATGACTAAATGAACAGGATTGACATTTAGGAACGTGTGGGATTGTATATATTTATAAGCACATTTTCCAAGCTTTGCTGTAAAAATTATGAAATGCTGAACGGACTTGTTTTTAGGGCACAGCTGCTAATGCTTCTTTTAATACATGTAATATAGTTGTAGTTGTGGTTCTTTCTTCCATTATCCTACCAACAGACCTGCAAGAGGAGTCATTATTACTTCCACTTTGCAAATCTATTTTAAACATCTTTATACCGCCTCTTAACAGGGAGAAAACTGATATGACTGGAGATGAAAAATCTAAGAAGCTTCAAAGTCACCAGATGGAAAAAAAAAATGGGAGGGAAGCGGGGGCAACATTACCCAAATGCATCTATTTGTCAAACAGCCAGACAGTATGGTGTGATTTACAAATTTAGGATGAGTTAATGAGAGAACAAGTGAATAGGTAAGCAAGCAGAAAAGGGCCAAGCTAGAATTTGCAACCAGATCCATGTAACATTTTTTTCAATATAGCATTTTTATTTAAGAAGCAGCAGCCTGGGGAGTGAGGTGGAGGACCAAATGGGTGGTGTGCTTGCTCCTTTTACCAGCAGCCATGCCTTTCCTCAGAATTCCACCAAGCTGCTTTTCTCCCCATGGAGGAGAAAATATGGGTAACCCTAGGTCCACCAGAAGCTGCTTCACACCGTCTTGAAATCACAAGCAACTGCTAAGCTATGTACCCACACAGCTCCAGGCCTGCTGTGTTACCTGTTGTCATTTTTATTTCACAAGCTGTTGATCTTACATGTATTTCCACAGTCTTAAAAATGGGAAGCTGCCAAATTGTTTTCCTTCCTTATATATTGTACCCACTGTGAAATCCAAAGGCTTGTTTTGTCACGTGTAATTAGTTCTTAATTTATGTGCTGCTTAATGTAAGCAGCAGTATACAAGTATATTTTTAAAAAACAGTGATCAAATCCATACATAACTTTGAAAGGCAAGCGTTCTCTGCAATCCCTCCTGCTGAGTCTCAGGAGGTGGCCACACCTATAGAGATGAGCCATTTTCCAAAATATATATGTAGATAATAATAATCCTGAAGTAAATAAAACTCCAGGACCTTATCAAAGATGGTTATAGATCAGCTAAGGCTATTATTCAAGAAACCTGGTTGATATACTGTCCATGTCCTTGAGAGCGATAATGTGGCTTGGTAAAATGCCATTCATTCTAGACAGTGCTTCTTGACAGTGGATTTTTGCAGCCATTTGTGCAATTCTTCTTTTAAGACCAGTCGTCTTTCAAAGTATATTTTATGGTACGTATCCAGACTTCTTGCATGAGGGTTGCTATTATTTCCTCGTAAGATGTTCTATGTTTTCAAATGTTCTGTAGGATTCCATTGACACAAAGACCCTGCCCTTTATGGCTCTTTAACTCTTTTTAAAACAAAATTTCAGCTGGCTTAACCTGTCTTCCTGTCTTTAATGGCTCCTGCAGTTCTTTCCTATTCTCTAACAAGGACCAGGTCTTGGTAGGGAATAACACTGTGTCATTGAATGAGATGAACCTAAAATGGCCACCCAGTTACAAACACTGCTGGATGCAATCCAGGGAAAGTTGTACTCAGATCCTACTGAAATTAATGGAACTTCTTTCCATATAATTGCACTTACACTTATGCAGCCTACATGCTAGAAAACATCAGTTCCTCTGAGACCAGCCTGAGCACTCTGGGATTCATCGCTCTGTTGACGTGCTGAATTAATGTTTACACAAAGGAAGTTGGAGAATGCCCAGCACGTCCCTGTTCCATATCATTATGCTGGTCAGACAACTCCCCAGATAATAAGCAAAACTTTTCCTTTTACTCTAGGAGGGAATGAGTGGTTTGTACACAAAGCCCTCTGGCACACAGCTTTTGTAAGAACACACTAAATAGGCAGGCAGTAATATTACCCAATGGACTATTACTTATGACTCTGTGTAGACATGAAGGTTGCAATGCGCTTTAATTATCACCTGAGAGAGACAGAATAGGTAAAGATGGAATCAATTCTTATGTTAAGATGAAAACATTGAAACCAAGAAAGTTTTCCCGTACATCCAAGGGGTGGAAACTTTATTTTTTAAAAATGAAAGTTGAATGCCAAGTTCTTTATCAGGTATCAAAGTTTATGACTTCAAAACAATCTTACGGATTTAGGCCTGGTTCATATGTTACATTAAGCCAAGTCATGGTTTAGTACGAATGTGCAAGCATGACGTCTCCCAGAAAAGAGATTGCAACCACTTTGCTCCTCTCTGCTCATTTTGCTAATGCACCATGCTCATGACTTGATGTGGCGTTGTACTAACCTGGCCCGATGGTTTAGCTCTCTTCAAACTAATCATGACTGCTAAGCTTATTAAGGAATCTTTGGTGAGAGGAACTATACTAAAAGCTTTTTAAAAGTCTAAGTGCACAATTTATACCAGGCACTTGTATAAATATACCAAAATCTTGAAGAACTTTAAAAGGTTTGTGAGACAGGACTTACTTTGGAGAGGCCATGTTGATTCTTCTTCAGCGGGACTTCCTATTCTATATGCTTGATGATTTTATATTGAATCATGCTTTCCACCAGTTTTCCTCAAACAGATGTAAGCTAAGAGCTTTAAATTTCCTGGAAACCTTTTAAAAAATTGGTGTTATATTGGCTACTGCCCATTCTTCTATTACGGATTCTGATGCAAGTTACTTATTTTTGTTAGAAGATAGTTCTCGCAAATATATATAAAAAATATTTTATCTTCACAGCCTCTTATATACACTTTTTACCATTTTATTTTACATAACAAAAACCAACAGGGACTTTAAAAGTAAACAATGCCTCCAGGCATTGTGTTTGGAGGTATTTTGTGTGGGGTTTTGGAAACTGTGGAGGTAGAGGTGAGACAGTCGCCCACCTTTAGGAAAAGTAATAAAATGGCATTAAAAGGGTTTAGCTATTCAGTTACAGGCTGAAGCACCAGATTATTATCTTGTAGAATATTGAAACATAATCCATAGAAGGGAATAATACGAGAACTAGACTCAGGGTCACTGACCTCACAGGTCTGATTAGAGGGGTTTTCTGTCTGAATTGTCAAATCAATGTATAAATTAAAACATGTGGAATTTTTTTTGAAAGGGAGATCATTATTTGAAAAGCAGACAGCAGATGCAGAAGATGAAAAGGAAACTGACAAAACCATGCCAGTCTGATTAGAATATAGAATATGTGAGTGATGGGATAAAGGGAAAGTGTATTATTTTGAACCTCCAACAAACATTTTACAATGTCTCTCATCAAGGCTCCTGAGTAAGCTTAGTGGTCATAGAATAAACGTATGAGGCTTCTTATGGGTTAGTAATTGGCTAAAGAATGGAAGGCAGGAGCAGGGGGACAGTTCTCAATGAAGGCAAGAAAACAATAGCTGATTATCAGTACTGCATCTGGCAGGGCCAGCCCAATACTTTTTGGTACCTGAGGCAAAACCCAAAATGGCGTCCCTCCTTGGAAGAAGGGGTGATTGCAGATTTACATCAGGAACATGGGGGAAATCAAGATCAATGTGGGATCAGCTGCCGCTGGCGATCCCGCTGCCTGAGGCAATTGCCTCAGCTGCCCCTATCTGGTGCTATTCAGCTTGCTCATAAACAAGTCTGTGATGACCAGGGAGAAAGTTATGGATGACATCAAATTATTTAGGATGGGGGAAACCAAAACAGACTACAAAAGCGCCAAGAGGGACTTTCCAAACTAGGTAAATGTAGGGGCAGGAGGCAAAGAAGATTTAACGCAAGCAAGTTTCAAAGACGGGTAAATTGATTAGCAAAAAATTCAAGACAAGCAAAAGGAAGTACACAATGTAAAGTTCATCTATGGCGTTCACTGCTATGAGATGGGATGGCAAGCAGCTTAGATGGCTTTAAAAGAGATTAGACAAATTCATAGAGACCAAGGCTATCAATGTCTGACAGTCATGCTGGCTAAGTGGAACATCCATCTTCAGCAGCACTGTGGCATGTCATAAAATGCTAGTTGTTGGGGGAGGAAGGCAACTCTCTCTCTCTCTCTCTCTCTCTCTCTCTCTCTCTCTGTGTGTGTGTGTGTGTGTGTGTTGTGGGCCTGAGGGAGGCATCCGCTTGGTCACAGAGGTAAACAAGTGCTGTAATACGGGAGTCAGAAAATGGGTATCTTCCAACTCTCATCAGCTGCAGCCACTATAAGGAGCTGTAGTCCAATAATTGGGGGGGGGGCACAGATCCCCTGCTCCTGCTGTACTAGATAGATGATTGTGCTGATTCCATAGGGACTGGGGTTGAAGTCCAACAATCTGCAGAGGGTCACAAGTTCCACACTGCTACTTTAGCAGAAGCTGTTAGACTCTCTGGCGAGCTGCATTTTTGCTTTCTCATGCATCTGTAATCTTTTCCTGTTTATTGGGAGGGGTTGGAGTTGGGAAATCAAGTGACCTTATATAATCAAATCCAAGAGGCCAGGTGAAAATAATATTTTGGGCTACTTCAACTGATTGCAGACTGTACGGTAGAAAAAAACTGCAACTGTATAAATCAGCAGTTTTAATCTTTGAAACTGCTGTTATTTATCCATGAACTAGACTGATGATGTTTATCTTGTTAGAGCGAGGGCTCCACCTATCCAAATCAAACAACCATCCATCTCATTCATTTTTCAAGAAAATAAAATGGTGCACTCATTTTTCTTTATATCATCCCATAGCAGATATATCCTTTAAGGAAACAGGTACAAAACCAGCATATAACAGCCTCATTTTGCATTCTATGTATGGTCAGAATTTTAGGGCGAGAAAGATTGTAGTGTCCTCTTTACTCTGACTCATGGACTAGATACAATCTGCCCCAAGAACACTTTAGGTCTTTAAAATTGCTCTTTCCTACTCAGAGCAAGAATAATAAAGAGGGGGGGGGGGAAACGACCTTGATTTTATTTGCTTTGCATATCACCTGCAAGACTTCACAAAAGATGAATTTCCCACATGGAAGTGACTTCTGTATAGAAAACTGCATGAAGTGCCATATATTGTTGTCATACAGGTCTTCACACAATGACCTTTATGAAACAGTACCATGGTCTTATGGAATGCAGCCCATTTTACAGCCCCAGATCCACTCAACTCTGGTTCCTTTCTATGATGTATGTAACTCTTCCAAGAGCATACATTCATGCTATCATAGGATACCACCAAAAAGGACTTCCATGGCAGGCCAAGAGACATAACAACTGAATCCATGTAGGTAAAGCCATCATAGATACCAAACATCATACCTAAGGTAAAATCTTTCCCATGCAACATATTACTTCAGAAAACTATTTATTATTGTTATTTGTATTATTAAGTGTAAAAATACTTGCAAAACAAAGTGCTGTAAAATAAAAGATAATTCCTGCATAAAACCGAAATATCGGACAAATTCTAAATTCAGGATTTGAAAATTTCCCAGAGCCAATTGATGGCTCAGGAACCAAACAACATTTTGCAAACCATATTCACGTTTTTTAAAAAGTTCTAATTGATCTAATTGATCAACAATCTTCTAAGCAGATGCCAACAGAGTCTGCTGACGTTTACTGCCTAGTTTGTTTAATTCAGACTGCAAAGATAAAAAATCAGCACATAAAACTCAAAATTGCCTCCTTTTGAGCTCTGCGTAACCTCAGGGATCTCCTCCTCTCATATGAACCAGCCTGGACCATGTGGCTGCATGTGAAGGGACATAGTATTTTATCTTTGACTGGGACATGGTCTCTAGGATGCTTTTGGCACCTCAAGTCTATCATTGCTATGAGGCTGCTACAATCAACATGAGGTCACCAAGGCCAAACAAGTAAACAAATTATACTAGAAGGAGTAATTTAGGCATCCTTCCACAAACAATTCCTTAAAAGTAAGAGGCATAATCTATCTCTAATGCCAAAATCAAGTCATGGATATGTAAACAGAGTTACAATTTATACTGAATCTTCAGAAGATGGAGCATTTGGTTTGCAAAGTTAGAAAACAGGGCACAAACAGTCAAACTGAAGTTAGAAGTGCATACCTTAAATGACATGCATGGAAAAAGTAAAATTATTACAAACAGAAAGAAGTGTTGTCTAATTCCACAGGAATCTGCAACTTTGGTATAAACATACTGAAAGGGCTGTTTTTAAAGAAATATACTGTAAAAGCTGTCCCAGTGTACAACAGTAAATGAAAGAAGGTTTTACTCAGTACTGGTGAGGGTGGGAAGAGAATTTGTAATTATTTTTGCCGTATATTTGCCGTATATTGAGGATGATTCAAACTGGAGAACATGAATGCAGAAGAGTAATACTTTAGACATGTTTTGAATTCTCCTTTGTAACACAGAAGAGAAGCAGAGCAACCCAATACTGCAATTGCTAAAATTATCTACC